GAAACAAAACACTCGTCCCAGACCAGTCCGGGAATACGAATAAGGCCTATTGCAAACGTGCTGGAATGTGTACGTTTCGAGCCATGCTCTACAATAATATGCTATTGATTACACGAAGGTCGATTTTGTGTCAGAAACAACAAATTAGAAAAAAAAAACTTGTGTGCACGCTCAGGGCGTGATCCCTACCTATAAACTGAAAAAAATAATCTCGAGTTGTTTGTGTTTCGAGAGTCTTTCAACTTGGCGGGACTCTCGACGACTATCCGTTCAGCAAACTTTGTCATCTAATCGCGGGTTTGCGCTTTCATGTACAAATAAGTGCAGATTGTGACCACATAAAAAATGAACAAAGGCCTCTGCCCTCCTCAAACCCAGACTCCATGAAAAACATGATCGCAAGTTAGGGCGAAGCCGAATATATTGTTCTCCATAGACATATCACGTAGAGAAATGGAGAACGAATTTTATATTGGGAGTTAGAGCCCTAACATCAAAACAAATTCATATTTTACAACCGCACGTACTCACTCTCTGCATTGCCTACTACGCAACAGAGAACTAGAGGGGTGGCCAATCATATTTCAGAATTTTTGTTAATAGAAGGCTTGTTGATTTACTCTATTGTCTGACATCCCACGATGATATGACCTCAACCATGTCTTGTGTTTGCATCAGACTCGAACACACCATGGAAATTGGCCAATCACAACGTTTACCAAGCCGTAAAAGGTCAAGGGATTGATCCCTTAGCCTTTTGCGGCTTACTTTCGTCAATAAGTTTTAATACAATCTGAAAAAAAAAATAGCCAGCTACCTACGATCTCTATGGAACGTCATTTTAGTTAGGTAGAATATCCGAAGTGCTGTGGACACTTGATATCGAAAGCTGTAACTTTACCAGTGCAATACCGACTGCGGTCATTCCAAGCGGTCATTAATTTTTATGCAGATATATTTTAAACATGGAAAATGAAATGTACCGAGTTAGACAAACAAGTCATTTTAAATTAACAATATTGCACGACATCAGGAGTGTCTCCCGATGTTTGCAAGTTATTGCAAACTTCAACGCGATAACATTGCAAAAATTCTGGCATGTAGTCAAGGATTTACCCGTAAATTTTCAATTTTCGGTGCATTCGAGCGAAATTCTAGTGACAAAGAGGCTGCACTCGTAACTGTTCTTCTAAGCCCTCCCCGTTTCCTGTGGTTTTATTCCATTGAGCATTCGGGCGTTGTTTTGCGTAGGTGTACAAATCAAAATCACGTGGAATAATAGACTGCCACTTGAAAGGTGAATTAAATATGACCTCTCAGCTGAGATGTTGGATTTAGAGGAAATGATTACCTTCGATGCTGTTTAATGCGGCATTCTTGTAAGCGTACATCCCTACTTATGGCTGAAAACTCTCGTGCATGAAAACTTCGGACAATAATTATGGTAACTCTTGCTTTAATGGTGTACAAATACCTCACGACCCGAAATCTTTACATATAAAGGTCATTAAAATACTACTTGCCCACCTTGAATAAACGAAGCAAAGAAAATTGTTTTGTGGTTAGACATTCCCTGACTCCGTCGTTTGCAGAATCCATTCACTATTTTCAATGTGTTACGCACGGCTGCACACTTCTTGATGGTACATTAACGAAGTTAATCTCAAGTTATCAAGCGTGGAATCGAAAACAATATATATTTCAATAAGATCCGTGGCCAGCTCTTCAAACCCACGCAGGCTATAAATATTGACCAATCAGAGCGATTGTAATTTAGCATAAATATGGTCCCCAAACCCATAAATTATTTGTGTCACTGTGTCGCATCTGCCTGAGGTGGGCAAGCGTACTTCGAGATCCCAAGTAGCAAACCAATTGCTTCAGGTAAGGTGTTTCAAGGGCAAGCTGTAAGGTTACTTGATAGACTTAAAGCTTCGTTCAAAGTCCACGAGCTTCAATATTTTATTTTCGGAGAATTATCTTTTTCTGTTACAGTGAGCAGAATCTAATTAGACATGATTCTACATGACTAATGGCAGACGTATCCTAAATGCGGTTTCTCTGTGTTTTAAACTATCGGAATAGACATTGAATGCTTATTTCACTTTATAGTGCATTCTAGTTATTATTAATTTGTTATTTTGAAGCAGTTGCTTTGCTATCACTGTGATATCCGCGAGTAAACGAGTTTAGTATCAGAGCGACTAAGCAGACTTTCTCTTTGAACTGTACGTCAACGCGCGGATGATTGTGATTGGTCAAAATTGGGGCGTGTTTGCGATCGTAGTTTTAACCTGCAGGTCAAAACGTGCGGGATATTCAATCACTGAATGGGGTGTTGTTTTTCCATGAACGCCTGCCCTTTGTTCTTCCTGCTACGAATTATTGTTTTGCAATCATCGCGACCATTGAGAAAGCAACATACCTCTCCCTTTGGGCATCAATCGACATAACTCCATTGCTAGTTAACACGGGCTCAACTTCGTATTATGTTGCTAACAATGTTTATTATCATTAAATATGAAAGTTATTTTACTGAAGGAACGTTTTAATGAAGTAAAAAAATGGACAAATATCGGCATTCTTCAGAAGGAGCTGAACTTTTTTTTTCTTCTTCCTGTGATTGAAAATATATCAATATCATTGTTGGTGTGATAGTAGTCCAAGCTTCCCTTACCAAACCATTGTGCTCGTGTTTTAATTGTTTCTGACGCACGAGATTTAGCAATTAATCATTACATGCTTGTCTTAATACTGTAAACGAAGATGGTTTGCTCGATGACGCTTTGTTGATCATAAAAGGCTAGTAAAATAAGGACAACATTTCACAGCTTATAGCGTGCAACATATCGAGCTACCCGGAAACGAAATATTATTAAATTACAACTGTAAAAACCCTAAAGCATGGATAAGGCACTCTCATGACAAATTAAATTCTAATTGAAAACTTTAGAGAAATGTAATGACTTCTAAACTCTTTCCTTGATTTTCTTCGATATCTGGCTGTCCCTCGTGTAGTTCATCGCGTTCGTCTGCCGTTTCGTAACCCGACTTCGTGGTCGAATGACCTCGTCGAAAATTCTGTCTTTTGGTTTATTAATAACAAAGGTACAAGGACTGTTGTTTGATTTAGACGTGACATGTATTTTAAGTTAACCTATAGAATATCAAAGATTTTAGTAAATCATTTACAGGGGGTCCTGTTACTGACGGTCACCCCTGCGGCAGTCTGGCGAACTGTTTTTAATTTTGGTTTTGCCCTATGGTCCTTTCTCAGGCCTAGCCGCCTATTTGGATCCTCGGAAGCCGCTTATGAAATAAAAGTTATTAAAACCTCTGCTTACAGCGTTATCGAGCTCAGAGACTTGAAAAGTATTTCCAGAAATCACAACCGTATCGAAGATATCATCAGTTACTCTTTTTAAAATCTTTACTTATGAAATTAATGTCCTTAATAAAGTTGAGTTGGATCAACAACCTAATTGTACAAAAAGTGAGACAATCGCTTAATATTTAACCTAGAATCCTGATTGGTATATTTATGACTTGCGAAATTGTCACCATTTCCGTTACCGATGTGTTTGGTCACGAACGTCTCCAACCCTTCAAATACTGCTGTTAATTTTAACAATAGATAGTGCGCTTGAATACGTGTGCGTGATTCAGCCCCTTTCTATGGTTGTTGCAGAACTAAATGCCACTTGCTTATGAGGGTTTCTTTGCAGTTTGGAACTTTTGGATAGTATTGCGTTATTACAAAGAGTAAGATTCGATTATTCGTGTATAAACTCCTAACGTCCGTTGAGACGAGTATCACTTCTTTCGGAAGCTTTTATTTTTTCTATGATGTTGATGATATATCTTTGAGATATGACTTCCGTTGTTGTGCGATCGGCTGAAGAATTTTATTTATTTAAACAAGGATAGCTTTTCTGTTGGTCTTTTCTTGGGTGCAGCTTTTGTCTCACTTAAACGCACCTAAGAACAACCGATTTTCAAGCCGGCTAAATATGCATTAAGCAAGTCTTTGCATTTCGGCATAACGAGAATACATTATCAGTATTGTAAAGGCTATAATTTGTCCATCAGCTGGCGGTGAACCAAAACAACTTGGGTTTAACCTGGCGGGATCAAGATGAAAATGTTCATTGCAAATGGCGGCGGGATGCGGGATTGAAAAAGTATCTTTTGGACCATCGATTTCCTCCAACAAAAGTCAGGTGTTATGCTATTTAGATCTTGAAAAATACAAATCTAAATTCCTCAGTTCAGTGGTTTCTAATCCCTAATAATCACCTCGAAGATTTTGCCATCTGCAGCCATTTTTTATAGTCGGTTATAAATTCATCGAAGTAGCATGTTGTAGTTTCCTTCACAAAACGATCAATCGCTTTTGAACTTGGCAAAGATTAGATGAAATTAAAAAAAAATCGACAATAACACGAAGTTAAAGTCGTGAATTAAAATATTCACTTTACTTCCCGACTGCGACATTTGGGTAAATATTGCAGGAAAGAAAACTAAACAGAACTAAGGTGCAAGCAAATACGACACAAAAAAGTGAAAAGCAACTGGAACTAAGGACTTGATTCCTTTCTTAACGCGCATTGTAAACTTTTTACGAGAGACGTAACAAATTATGTAACTAAAGCAAGCCGAAACACATTATGAAAATATTTTTGACGCAAGTAGATCTTATGCCGCGCAGTTCTTTAAGTATGTCGATACTTTACGTGTTTGAGACGCCGACGTGAAATATTATTACTATTCAAATCTCTAGAAAACTGCGCGAAAGACTAGGCTTCGGCCAGTAAGACCATGCATTACCAAAAATGAGACCGAGCCTAATGAGGGTATTAAAAAAAGACGCTTTAATCCTATGTAGTTCTTTTTGTCCCAGCTAATGGTTTAGCTAGTATAATTATAATTGAAAATTTTTTGCTTTCAGTATTCTCAAATCAAATGAGCGTCATGGCAAACAAAGCTTACTACAAGGAACGAATCCAAAAAATGCAGAAAGAGATTGACGAGGCTGGCAAAGAATCCAAGGTTCTAAAAAATTTAGACGTCTTTGTGTTGGACAATTCCCTCCGTGAAAGTACCGTGGGTCAGTTGCGTGGGCATACCATAGAAAACAAATGGAAAATTTACAAGGAGGTGGGTACATTATGCTTTATCCTTGAGTTGGATTTCCATTCTTCTGTTGTCTGAAATGACTACGAATTTGTAAAACATATCAATAAAGACATAACATCATAATGACTCAACGCTTTGGATGAAGAAGCTTACTACTATCAACTGTCATCAAGAAATGAAAGCTGGAGTTGTAAGCGTCAACAAAAAAAAGATCCAGTTTGCTTAATCTAAGAGTTAAGCCTACAGGCGTGCCAAGAGCCACTTGAATAAAATTTTCATGCAAATTGAACCTTCAAATTTGCCCAATGCTTGAGAGCCTCAATTCCCACACATTACGTCGATTCAGCATCTTCGGAGTACCGTGACGTTATTTGTCTAATATATGCATGTATTTTACGTGTTTCCCAATCAATGATTAAATGCAACCGTTTTATACGATACGTCGGCGTAGCTTTAGGTATGATAATTTGTCGAAATGCTCCATGTCATAACAACACATTTGAAAAATTCCGGAGAGGATTGCTTTGAATCAACGGGTGTTTAATAGGAAGGACTGTGGACAGAATTCTACCGTCTCTCCGCTTGAGAGGCACAGCGGGAGCCTTTATCATCGAAACAAATTTCAGCTGTGTTTTAGCGTTTCTAAACGTTTTTCCCTTGATTCTTTTTCTAAATTAGATAAAAAAAGTCGGCTTCAAAGACATCATCGTCGCTTCCTTCTCCCACATGACTCGCCTGGGTGATACTTTCATCAAACAGCTACACGATGCAGGAGAAGACTTCACTAATCTCTGGGCCTTCACAGAGTTACTTGAATCCGTTGACAAAAGTGGGGTTCCTGATACCGAGACCATTCCTGTTGGCCTACGGAAAATGAAAGAACTCGGCATCAGGAACGCCATCATCGAAATGGATTTGGTTTACGTAGGGATCAATTACAAGAAGTTCAAAGTTGAAGCTATCAACGACCTTCTTACCGAGAGATTGAAGTGGATCCATGCCAACCTAGCTAAAGATTCCAAGGTGGTGGTCAACTTGCGCGATCTTCCCGACGGCATGATCAAAAAGCCAAAGCGTGTTTTCAAGGTCATCCGTCATTTATCTTCCTTGCCCCTAGCTATCCGTCCATTTGGAATCGTTACCGAGGAGTCTGGAAAATACTTCCCAGAGCAGCTTGCAGCGTGGATAAGAGCTGTTCGAAAAGAAATGGATGATTGTGGTTTCAAGGATGGCCACTTGCTGGTTCACGTGCACGAAAAGTGGGGACACGTGGACACCACTCAGTTGTCATGTTTGGCCAACGGAGCAAATGGTATCTGGGCAAGTATGATCATACAAGGAGCATCCATGGGTGCAGCCAGTTCTACCGTAACCCTGATGAACCTGGTCCGCCTTGGAAACAAGAAAGTTCTCAAGAAGTACAATTGCACAGCCCTCCGAGAAGCTGCACAAGAGATCTGCAGGGTCACCACTGGATACGAGCCATATCCACTGCAACCCATATACGGAGAACGAGCCTTGGACATGGTGTTCGGTATGCCTACCAAACTTGGAATAAACGAGTTCGACTTGGCGAAGTTCTTTGGGGAAGAGCCACTGATGCGAATGACCACACTGGCCTCTGCTGAAATGATTGTAACAAGGCTCAAAAATCTCTTTGGAGAAGATCCTCAATTTACCATCGAACGAGGCACGAGAATGAAGGAGGTGATGTTGGAAGATCTTCACAAAAACATCAAAGAAGAGTACATGAGTGCCGCAGGCCTAGCTATGCTGTTTGATCGTTCTGGTGGTCATCTCACTGAAAAAATGGCCGAAGTCCTAACCAAGGAGGAACCAACGAGGGCCCATGCTCAGGTATTGATAGCTGAGATCCGTGACATGTGGGATGAATGGGATTTGAGGGACGGCCAGCGAGATGACAAGCTGGAATTTGATGCGTTTTACAATGGCTTCTTGGCACCATACTTTGGTTGCTACAGGTGCGACGAGACGAAGCAAGCCTTGAAAGCTATGGATATGGATGAAGATGGAACCGTGGATTGGAATGAATTTGCCGTGTACTTGAGGTGGGCAATGCGACAATATCCTGAGACCAAGACTTCTGAAGATCTCCTTTCTGTTGCCTTCCGCAAGGGGCTCATTCCGGCCATGCAAGACGAAGTGGTCAGGAAGCAGGAAGGCGAGCCCATGGAAGCATAATGAACGTTTTCTTAACTTAAGCACACATACAAGGGGATGATAACCGATAATCTTTCACACGTAGCGTGGGTGATTTTCCCTTATAACGTGGGCTTGGTAGCCCGTATGAATAGACAAACATTAGTTCTTTTTGTTTATGCCGGACACTTTCTTGCTCATTGTCAAAGTCGATTTTGTGGCTTTTTGTAGCTTATGGGGCGTGGCGTTTAAGGTTTTTCTTAATCATGGATGCCGCACTTCAATGGTGTAATTTCTTTATCTCGGTATGATTATCAGCGACGATAACCTGTTCACGGTTATGAACGAGATGAGCATTTCGAATTAAAGATGTGTAAGTTGAAAGGAAAGTGTTGCTTTAAATGACTCCGTGTTTTAAGTTCTATTCAAAATATGCCATGAACTAGCCGTACTCTCCACTTGCGCTGTTGCTCGTTTCTCTCCTCCTTCCAATGTTCTCGTCGCCAATTTGTATACGATAAATGTGAAACCTAAATGGAGACGGGCAGAGGAGACAACATTTGCCCCCGAAAGAAATGTCTAAAAATAGAGGTTACGATTGGTATACTTCTTAAAAAATCAGCTTTAATTTCAAGGGTTGTCCTCGGCTTTTCCTGGAAATGTGCTCTATCCTTTACCATTCTTGTTTCCTTTCGGTGAAGAGCGTATTTCATTTGTGTGTCATGACACCAAACCACAGTTATCCCAGAGGACAATTAATACAAAGCTGCAAAGGAAAATATCTCGGAGAGTCAATGAGAACTCAAACCTGCTTGAAGCAAAGGAAAACGCGAGTGACCAATTTTTGATTAGTTATAGATTAAATCAGTGTTATTACAGCTCAAGTGCTTTTCAATTGAGGTTCGTAAAACCAAACCAAAGTTATTTCAATAACCAATCACAGGAAAGGAAAATACTTTAAAGAAGCAATGAGTACTCCAACGAAAACCAAGCAAACTACAGAAAGCGCGGGAAAACGCCAGGGACCGAGTCGTGTTTTGTTTCTGTTTTACATCTGATTGGTTGAGAGAGAGGCGCGGTTTTTTTTTTGAGTATTTAAAGCAATCAAAAGCAATGATTGACGTGAAAAGGAAACTGCGCGTTAAAGTACTCTTCTTTTTTGTTGTTGCCTTCATAAGCTTTTACATCGTCATATCAAATGTGTGTCAGTGGTTGCGAGCACAGATCATTATTAAAAAAAAAAAGAAAAAGAAAAAAAAAAAGAACAACTGGGACTTTTGTTGATGGTCTGTCTAGCGAAACTTATTGTAAACACATTATCATTCCGCCCTCGTTTCATTCCAAATCACCGTGTCCGAAACCCGCAGGATAATCGAGCTCCCTATTTCTGGCTAGTTCTTCCTCATGGAAATTGTTTGATTGCAGCACTGATAAAACCTAGGTATCAAAGTGCTGACTAAATGTTTACTTCTTTACCTGCGGGTAATTACAATAATGGTTGTCATTTCTCTTTTATGAGAATCAATAGAATGCCATGAAATGAATACGAGAGTAATCGAGTTCATCAGCACGGGAGCCAATCAAATGGAAGAGAGCTCTCCGTGTTGAACACAACGTCGCCTTGGATACATAATGAGTTCAGCTGAGGCATTCATGCGGTAATTACGTTTGAAATATAGATGAAATTTTCCTTGAAGGCCTCTAGAAAGTATAATTTATCGTTGTAGGATCTATACTACTTTCGCTTGATGTTGTTTTGGGAAGATTCGAAGCCCCGCGGGTTCGAATTTTAGAGGAAAATGTCCGAGGTTCCACAAGAAGAAGCTGCAAGATCAAGAGCTGCTTCACCTCCCAGTGGCGAAGTTGCCCCTCCGTTGATCTCAAATGCAAAAGGTAATCATTTGAAATAATACTGTCTTTCGTCGTAGAAGAAAAATAGCAAAAATAGCGTTATTTGATGTCTTTGTAGGCTTTATCCGCATTCGTGCGCTTAATTCTCCCATGGAGAGCTCTTATTTCACTATCCAGTGTTCGATCGCCGAAACATTAATTTTACATCGACTGTATTTTTTGTTTGAGTGGTGCTTGTAAACACGCTCTATATTCGATGTGTCCCAGGACGATTAAGGGATTTTAAAGTTTTTTTTGCGTGTTCACAGATGAAGAAGCAAAGAAAGGCCCGAAACGCCGAGGTGCTCCCAGATCGGCGGGAAGAACGGCGGCAAATGCTGGCCCGGTGAGTGGAACAAATCTGCGACAATTGGTTTGATTGGAAATGAAATTATGAACTTACCCCAAATGGATCTGCGCCATTATAATCTAATTTTTCTGTTTAGAGATAACGTAATGTTATTTTACCTGTTTACAGTGAAATTTCTTTGAAAGCTAACTGAGAGGGATCAACAAATAAACTTATGAACGCTGGAAGTTTGTTTTCGAACAGAATATGTTATTTGGAATCTCCAAATTATGTAACATTTATAATCTGATGTCGTAGTTTTCTTTAATATTGCCGTTTGACATGAAAACCATTGTTTGTGTCATGCTGTACATGTTTTGGACCTTTGAACTGCTTCGCTAGTCTTAAACCTTCGGCATACGACGATATTTTCCCGCATCTAAAGTTTCGTTAAGTGTACTTTGTCACCTGTTAATTTATTATTCGTCTACAACTCATTTAATTGTCTCTACTGTTGATCAATATTATTTAACTGGGTTTTTAAGCAGAAGAAAACAGTCACACTGGTTACAGGGTCCGAAGCTATGAAGGAAAGACAAAAGCAGGCCAAAGCCCTCAAGGAGCATCGAAAAATGACGGTACAAATATAATCTGTTTTGTAATCGATCTTCGATAAACAAGCAGTTTGTTCTTTGTCTCCCAGACGATTAAAGGGAATGTTGCCTGAAGGGATAGCTAGTCAGCCCAGGAAGCCCGGTTGGGGAAGCCCGGTTGGGGGGGATAAAATTCTTCTTTTAGTAAGTGTTGGTAAATCATTGATTATCCTTTCGTTGTTTATTTATTAAAGATATACTCAAAGAAAAAGATTTTTTATTTCTAGATGTGATAGACATAAAATTTATCCTTACAGTTTCAATACATCATCCATGAAACATATGATGAAATAGAGAAATTCATCTACCTGGTGTCATCTTGATTTTGTTCCAAATCCGCCTAATTATAGAGTTTTAATCAACCTGTGAATGTGCAGCCAGTAACAGAAAGAATTAATAAACATATTCTGGGAGCTGAAGAGTTGATTTCAGTGGACAAGGGCATTGTGCAGTCACTTTTAGTGCAACAGAGCATTAGTTGTGTCGCTCGATCTTATCATGTCCTGTAATTTATTTTTGGGAGTCTCATTTAACAGTTTAATAAGTTGCACCCAGTAGGACCTATTTTGGCAGTGATAACTCACTTAATATTAATCATTATTGTTCTTTTAGATGGATTCTAGGCACAACTTTATACTATCCAAGGTAATTATGCACAACTGGTATACAGTAGAACCCTGATAACTTGAGCTCCTAAGGGAAACAAAGAACGGTTTGAGTAAGCTGATAGTAAGTGGCTGAAAAAATGGGTTAAGGAATGTCAGATCTTTTTCAAGTTATCAGGGAGTTCAAGTTAAATGAGTTTGAATCTATGGGGTTCCACTGTAACTGATTTCTTTACAATTGTATACTGAAGAATATAAATTAACATTTGGGTGTATGTTAGGCAGTTGATATTAAAGAATCTCTGCCTACTATGGAAAGCCCTCTGCCTAAATTTTGATTGCCTACCAGCAAACATTATTTTAATGCAAATGTGGAGTTGTTATGCAGCATATTCTTCTCTATGTTCCATTCTCCTGATAGTCTACATTTCTCAATTAGAAACCTCAATAGGATGTATGTGTAAATGAGAAAGTAGAAAACGAGAAGCAAAATGGTGATATCACTTTTTGTGTGCCAGTTGTTAAAAAAAAACTACTGCCTCAGAGTCTGCTTATTATGTGATTCACTATTTAGATCAGTGACTACATTGGGGTAGATGGTGCTGTTGTTGAGGATTTCATCTTGGGAGATGATAAGGTTAGTTTTCAATGGAATGCAAGACAGTAAGAGGAATAGTTTTCAGTGGAGTACAAGGCAGAAAAGAATAGTTTCAGTGTCCAGAGTGCAAGGCAGAAAAAATATAGTTTTCAGTGCAGTGCAAGGAAAAAAAAAAGCTGTCTGGAAATTTGGTTACAACTGTGGCAGAATTTTTGTCTCGTTCTGGCAATCATCATCATCATTGTTGCTGTCATCTTCTCCATCATTTATTATGATGGCTATCATGTCTTTTCTTATCAGATGCCAGGTGGATCAAAATGTGGTCCTTCTGAAAGTGTACCTTTATTTTGACATAGTAATTTTACCTTGCTTGCCAGGTACTTTTCTATAGCTCAAACTTTTTTTAAAGATTTAGTCTTGATTTATTTATTCAGTTTGACCTTGCTGACTCATTATATACTAATAATTTTAATTTTCTTTCTCTCCTGTACTACAGTTTGACCAAATTGAAGACTTCTTTGCTGCAGATGGATCAAGAAAACTTATGTTTTTCTATCAGGAATGCACTGTAAGTAATTTAAAATGTGGCAGGGAAGGGCAGTATCACTTTCACGTTTTAAATGTAGTGAGGGATTGGTACAAAACTTGTGCTGCTTCATACAATTCTCAGCTGTAAAATTAAACACCATTTTTATATTAGGTATATAGCAATACTCACATTTCCTGTGTTTGAGTTTAGCGATGTATATATAGTTATGATTTTAAATCTCAGTTGCATTTTGCAATATTTTCTTTTATTCAGATTTGAGGTTGTGAACAGGTTGTTTTGATTGTTATTTGTGGGATGCTTAAGCATTCTACTGTATTTTGTCTGGATATAAGAATGCATGGCATGATATTAAGTTTCATTTAATTAATCATCAAAAATGATTTGTCCAGTGAATGGTTTCTGTGATGAAATTTTGTAGAAGAAGAATGATGTTTTTGATATATCAATCACCTTTTCTGGTAGCGGAGCTCGCAGAGTGTAGCCCCATAATTATACAAAATAATAGTAACCTATCAAGCCAAAAAAATTTGGATGTATGACCGTACAACCATACAACTGTACTAGGTGCTACTTTTAACATGCATGGTCAACTGTACTGCGGGTACGCCAATGCTATGGCTTTGTTCAGTAGTCCAGTGGTCAGTGCACTGGGCTCTGAGTCAGATGACCTGGGTTCTAGTCCTGGCATGGGCAAGGCATTGTGCCCTTGAGATGTGTGGGGAAAAAAAATGTGAGCTCTGCTTTTAGGCTTGGCTAAATCTGTATAGTGTGAGTAAGGGTGATGGGTAATAACAAGGACAAATTGTGGACATGTAAACAAAGAAGAACAAAATCTGGCAGTTAACATTGTATGTGTAAAAATACTCTCAAAGTTTTTATCTTGGATTCTGATATGGGGCACAAGAAAAAATTATTGTTATTAACATATACTTGTTACCCAACTTGTTAAATCCCCAGATAAACAGAGTTGATCTTAGTTCACAAGCAGCAAATTCTCCCAGGAAACTCTTCATTACAGGAGGGAATACAGAGGTAAAGTTTCATGGTGTAGAATAAATCAACAATTTTTTGTTAAATTTTTGTTTGAAAAAATAATAGAAGGATCAGAGTGGAAAGTGAAAAATTGGTTTGGTTTGATTATGCTACAGTGATTACAGTGGCTGCATTCATTGTAAGTGATATTGTTTTGTCTTACAATCACTAAATAAAATTTTCTCCTAGGAACTCTGTGGCACCTGCCTTATGTTTATCCGTGCAACAAACAAGGCAATTACTATACAGAACATTGCTCAGGTACAGGTTTTGTTTGTTGGTAATAAGTTCAGTGGGGGAAAGATGAATGAGTGAAATGGTGATTTAACCAAAAATTGTGGTTGTTGAGAAAATTGCTGTAAAAGGAGAGCCTTTGAGAATTGTTTTAAATTACCAAGTTTTAGTATACCAACTCCTGGTAAATTTTGATTGGTCAATATGCAGTATATACATTGATTAGTGAATGTCATTCATATTATTTTACAGTTTTACACATTGAAGTCTATAAGCAATATTTGTAAGGGTGATTATCCATAAAGATTAAATTCTGCTGATCTCTGGAGCTGAGATATTTATTAAAACAAAATAAATATGACCGTACAAATGCCTGGACTGTTTTCTGTGTTCAATCAAAAGTGTCTATGTATGGGTAAATGACATGTTTATGTGGGCTGATTGGTGTGATGGGTAAAAGGTAGCCAACAGAACAGATGTATTTCTGATGTATGGAGGCAAGCATGTCAGGCAAGCTCAAAGAGCAATCAAGATGAAAGGAGAGAATCTTGTGACTCTAGCCTCATGTTCCTCAAGCCCTTGTCTCCATTTTCCTGTAAAATGCCAAAAATTTCAAGGGTTCTGTAGGCTAGGGAAAAGGGTATTTTTAATTATTCCTTTTCTAATGTGATGGGTTATGCTCTCCTAATGGAATAAGTGATTTATCAATTATCACTGTCTTGCTCATGAGTGATCTTGTGGTACACCTAGGATGTAATTGTTACTCAGTTAAAACCAGTTTGTTGAAAAAATTTTTTCTTGATGGTTTCTGGCAGGAGGTGAACTTCATGCCCATGGAGACTTCCAAAGGTGATGTTTTAGAGGGATTTCAGAAACTTCTTGGAAGTATCCTGGTTCCTGTACTCCAGAAACAAGAGGTATTTTGAGTAATGTTTAGCTTACATGTTCACCTAGAGTGGGAAATATTTTTGTGCTATTTAATTGAACTTTTTTAATTACTTACTCATAGAATTGGGGTGAGCTTCCAAATAGCTGTGGGCAAGTGCAAGAATTTCTTGAGTCCCTCGAAAAGTTTGTTGGAATTTTGGGTGGAGCAAGAAGCAGTATGAAAGGAAGGTCAGTGTCAATTTGACATGCTTTTGTAGGAGAGTTTCTTAAATAAATATGTTTTGCTCATACAAAGGGGTGACACTCTTCAAACGTCAGTGTTACAAACTCTTTACAGTGGAAATTTATGTTATCAACTCAGTTGATAAAACCAAATTGTCTTGTGATACTCTCCTACTGATGCAGCACCACAGTTTCTTCGGAAACTACCTCTGTCATTTATTTCTATATTTTCCTATATTAGACATTTTTAGGTCTATTTTAAATTGTGAAATTCTGAAAACAGTGAACCATTGTTTGATCTTTATAGCTCAGAACAACCAAAGGAAACTTTTAAACATATGAACATGAGTGATGAAGACAGAATTTCTCCTTACAATATTGAGAGAAAATCAAGCAGACAAGTGATGAGAATAAATGAATGTTTCAATTCAGGGATTATTAGCTCAACCAATACCAAATTTTCCAAACTTACATGAGAGGCAGTTAAGGGAGAATTACTAAATAAATGAGATCTGGGAGTGAATCAAGAGCTAAGAGTTAAACATTCAAATTGAACTGATTCAATTTTGTTCTAACAGGGTTCATCTTGGGGACCATGATTTAGGACCACTTCTTGATGGACTAAGGACTCCTACAGATTATGTGCTTGCAGGTGAGGGTCAGAGTATTTACAAGGCATGCCAGCTTTATTTGTGGTGCACAAGTGGAAGGTTTGGAGACCTGATGAGGTCAATGTGTTGTGTTCTTGGGCAGAGCACTTTACTCTCATAATGTCTGTTTCCACTCAGGTGTATTATGGGGTTCCTGGGAATTGTTAAGGAAGCCTGATGAAATGCTAGGGGGTATTCTTGCAACTGACTGGTATCTCATCCAGGGAGGATTAGGAATACTCCTTGTCTCTTCCTAAGGAAACCGGGAAAAGCTTCAGCTGGGTGGGTCACTTGGCTTAATTACAGATTTTACCTTACCATTATGTGGTGTATGCACAATGATTCAATGAAGGGTTGAAAATGAATCAACACAAAAATCTAAGTACTGTAGTTTTATCAAACTTTCTATCGAATTTTAGAAGTTGAAATAAGTTTGTTTGCCATTATTTTTTAGCCAACAATCCAGATGTTTTGGACAAACTTGAAGGTCTTGTTGCCTTGTGGTCCAAAGTTATTGAACAAGTTCTAGCTGAGAGTGAACAAGTAATGTGGTTCTTGTTTAAATGACTATTATTAATTTTGTCAATCCACATCACTGCATTATCACATCAAAAGTGAGTCAAGTATGGTCTTGAGGTGCAAGTATTCTTGCATAATTACAAAAACTTCTGGTGCTTGATTATTTTAGATGAGGAAAGAAGCTGATGATATTGGCCCCACAGCTGAACTTGAACACTGGAAAGAGAGAATGGCCAAGTTTAATGTGTAAGTTTACACACCATCACACATTAAAAAGAATATATCAGAAGTATTCTCTCACCATTTTCTCTGTGCTGGCCAATTTACATTTTATTAAATATTACCAACTCAGTCGATTAGACCAAATCATCTTAACAGAAGTACTGTTTGATTAAAGCATTAAATTCTCAGATTTGATTTTCCAAAAAACTGCACATTCAAGTCATGTGTTAATCACCTGTTTGTTGTTTTTGTTCTGCCTTGCTTGAAAAGAAAACTTCAAAAATAAGTTCTTTTCAGAAATGCCATTCCTTTGGAATTAATTGAACCAGGAAAATGTTTTCCTTAAAACTAAAACAAAATTACCTATTTAAATTTAAATACTATAGACTTAAAATTCATCCTTCTCATTTTTATTTTATTTTTGTGTTTTTCAACTTTTACATGACCTCTCAATGTTTTTTTTTCCAGCCTTCTTGATCAGGTGAAAAGTCATCACTGTAAGGCCACTGTAGGAGTTCTGCATGCAGCAAAGTCAAGAAGTTTGAAACACTGGAAAGAACTGGTATGATGCTTGTTGTCATAGTTATGTAAAAGATATATTGAATTAGATTTGAACCATTTCACATCTATAAGTCTGCCTAATTGCTACTCAACAACTATTCACCCAAGTGAAGGTGGCTGGTGGTAGATTTTTACCGAGCCATGAAGTGGCAAGGTAAACATCCACTATTAGCCATGGACATTTAGGTGAATAGCTGCATTTTTTAAAATGTGGGAGAGGTGAAGCAGGAAGAGAAGCATAGCACCTACAGCCACCCTTTGAAGAGGTTTTTTTAACAGCACAAATCAATTAATTGTCCAATATCATAATACATCTGTATACAATTTGCACATTATTTGTACTCTACATAGTGCAGTTGGAGAATAAATACTAATATTAATTGGTTATATTGAATCTGATTACACACTCTACTTTCACTACTAGTTCCCAGGCTTACAAATGGGCACTTCCATTTGGTTTACTTACCATTCAGTAAACTGAGTATTGGACTTCAAATTCAGATTAATTTAATATGTTGGCTTGTTTTCATTCTTATGTGAACTTGGACTACTTGTGTAAGAAGTAATTCAAGTTAGCTAAGAACTGTATAATTTTAGGAGCAACATTTTGGTGTTAGTAGTAAGTGGTTTAATTGTTTTCCCTTTCTAGGATAGCAAAATCACAGATGCTGCTAATGAGGCCAAAGACAATGTGAAATACTTGTACACTCTGGATAAATTTTTTGGACCTTTAATCAAGTGCTCTCCGGTAGGTTGTGGCTAAGATCACTTGATAACAATTTTTTAATGATTACTAAATGTCTCACTCATTTTAACTGGTATGTTTGTGATTGAATTTTGCAGACAGAGATGGTAGAACACATTCCCAGCTTAATGAATGCCATCCGAATGATTCACAGTATCTCTCAGTGCTACAACACATCAGAAAGAATGACATCTCTCTTTGTCAAAGTCACAAACCAAATGATAACAACTTGCAAGGCTTATATCAACCGAGATGTCATGAAGATATGGGAACATCCAAGGTATGGAACACCCTAACCAGAGAATCAAGTTAATTTTACAATTGATGACTTTGTGGCATATTGTCAAAAATTAATGTCATAAAATTACGAAATATCATTCTGCTTTATTGCTCTGTTTCACCATGTAACTACTGTCTTCTTTTACTGCAATTGGCTAATTTTGTTGTTAGTAGTGACTCTGTTGACAGAAAAAACTGTCATAAATTTAGCAAAAGCACTAAACTACTTTTTATTCTATCATCAGGGAGGTTTTATCAGGAAGATTGAATGAGTGTATCAGACTCAATGAGGAGTATCAGAGGTGCTTTCACCGAACCAAACAAAAGCTTAGAGAAAATCCCAGTGAAAGACAGTTTGAATTCAGGTAAGCTGTTCAACTCACTGTTCCTACATGTTTTGCCTTTGTGGTTACATTTTAGAGTACTGTACTAACTTATCCTGAATATCACTGAGACTTGATTTGGACATGTCAGTTGTGTTGTGGACAAAAGAGACTGATAACCTACTGATAACCTCTCAATTTCTTCCTGCAGTGAGAATTATATTTTTGGAAAATTTGATGCATTTTGCAAGAGGCTGGAAAAGATCAATGACATGTTAAACACAATGGAGACTTTTGCAGGGGTCAATAACATCAAAATTGAGGTACAGTGCAAACAAGGTCACTCAAGCCTGAATAAATCTTTACCTTAAGCCTTCTCACTTCCACGATCATAACAAGGCTTGATGTTTTACATACTGTAATTCTCATTACTTCTCATCTTTATAGTATTTGGAGACTGAGAGGAGAATGTACAGTTTGATCATTGTAAGGGTTAAGTACCTAAGGTTTGACTGGGTAAACTATTTCACATTTCTTGATTCTCAAACCTAATTTGTTGAGAAATATTCCTTAAAAATATTATATATATTTTTTTGGCTAATCAGAGTTTATAGAAACAATTTTGGGAAGAACTATCTTTAAAGCACTTTAGCCAAGTTTACCCCTAACTTCTATTTAGAGTCCATTTTAAATTTAGCCTTTTTTCAGTTTTTCCCAATGATTCTCCAATACAAACTGTGTTGAATTTTTTCAGGGCATGGAGACAATGATAGTTCGTTACAACTCTATTGTGACAAGTGTAAAGAAGAAAGGTTATGACTTGCTGGATCACAGAAAAGGAGAGGTGAGCATAGGTAGAACTAAGTAAAATGACAATTTGGCTTTGTTTACTGTCACAACGTCAGAGTATTCTCAGTTGCAGTTACCATCAATCTGGTATGTGCTGTTTTAAGAAGTTTTAAGTGGTTTTATTGCGGTTGTCTTTGATGTTCTTCCTCCTTGTTCCTTCCCTTGATCTAATCAGTGATGATGGGTGCCTGGAATGCAGACTCATAGCTGGGTTGTAGGGATTAGGCAGCTAAGGGGTGGTACTCAGGCTAGTCACAGTGGAAGCTTCTAGATATCCAAGACAATCTGTCCCATTTAATTAAGAGAGGGAGCCATCAGCAGCAATCTAACAGGCTTTCATATCAAGGGTAGTTTCGTTTTACTTCATGTATAGCCTTGTGAATGTGCATGCATAACTTTCACAATTTATGAAGTTTTCATGTATCATTTTCTTGATCGCAGTTTGACATTGATTATGAAGAATTCAAACAAAGCATTGAAGGACTAAAACTGCAGTTGCAGATGTTTGTAGACTCCTGGTTTGAGAAACCTCTATCTGTGAGTGTTACATCTTACCACCATATCTTGAATTCCATAATTTGCTTTTTAAAATTAACTTCTCTGTTGATACATTCTTTTGTATAATCTCCAAAAAATACTGTTAACCAATTTGTAGGCTTTCACAAGAGCTGATATCCATATAGGGATGATGTTATCTTGTTATACAACAAAAAATTGTGTGTAAGTTTACATACTCTTAGGTGTTACCCAACAGTAATTTCTCCTCGCAAAAAGCAACACACTAGATATAGAGCCAAAAATTGATTAAAAGAAAGAAAAACCAAGCATCATCAAGGTCACATTGCTTGATTTATCACCAAATTCTAAAAGCTAAATTTGACAGAAACCGTGCAGAGAACAAAAAATGTTTGGGTCCAGGAATGCAGAGATTAAAAGGAACTGAATATCAGTAAAGTTAGCCACAGTAAGAGGGCTACCTAAATTCTTTGATATGATTTTTTTGTCGCTTTTCAGACCCTTAGGGCTCTTGAACTTCTGCAAAAATTCCAGAATATTGGAGGAGTTCAGTTGGATCTTCATGACAAGTATCAGAGGATTTTGATGCAATATGGGAGGTAGGAATACCATAAGAAAGTAGGTTGAGTTGGTGTGGTGATTTCAAAATGATAGAATGGTACTCTTGGCATTGTAGGAAGTGAGAAAATTATGAATTGGAAATAGCTAGCTTGAAAAAGATTTCAGTTGCATGGCCTTGATTCAGCAAGTATCCTCTAAAATTTAAGTGAGGAGTTATCAAATGATGTAAGGATGAATGGATGTTGATGGTAGATATAGGATGTGACCAAAGAGAACCAATGTTAAATTAGGTAATAAGTGATTCTCATTATGGGAGAAGGTAAAGGTAGCTAGATGCCTTAGGGGGAGCCAAGTTGGCAGAAGGCATGAAAAGCTGAAGGGAAGCTGATGACCAGTGCAGTGTTGTGGTGTGGATTCTCTCTGATGTTAGAACAACTTCATAAACCTGTCTAAGGGCCTCTGTAGAGTAGACGACCTCTCCAGAGAGTGACAACATGCAAGCTTGCCAATGACAGGGAGAGGCAAAGAACGATGTTACAAATTTCCATGCATCTTCACTTAAATTAGAATTAATTTTGCATTCTTTTCTTTCATTAGGGACCTTGAGACATGCAAAAAGCTTTATCAAAAGCAGAAAAATGACCCACCTATTCTTCGTAATCTTCCACCAGTAAGGATCTGTCTTGATTATGAATTTATGTTGTGACTGTAGTGTCAAAATTAGAAAACAAAAACAATGTGTTTTGCAATCTTTCATGCTGGAGAGTTGAGATTAACTAGTTGTCCCATCTGGTTTTAGGTTGCAGGAAAAATAACCTGGGCCCGACAGCTTTTTAGGAGAATTCATGAACCAATGAAGGTGTTCAAGACATACCCAGAAATCTTAAAGGTAAGTTTGGTTTTTTTGCGGTAAATTTCATTTTATATTGCAGCTGTAGCTGTTTTGGAACCCCAGACATAATAGCTACACTGTGATTAATAACAGTTATTGCACATAAAAATCATGTTCTGTTCGTGTGTCATTTTAACCTATCATATTTTATTATTAGGGAGAAGATGCAAAAAGAATCATTCGCAATTACAACAAGAATGCGGCTGTGCTGGTAGAATTTGAGGTATGCGAACATAAAATTTGAAGAGGTCATGCAGTTTAATAGGACCTCAACCATTTTTTTCATCTAATTCAAAATTATCTTTGTCTCTGTGTGGCGAAATGAATCAGCGTAAGGAGGTTGTTTTGTCAGCAGTGGTTAGTACATATTATTTAAACAAGTCTAATAATTTTTGTATACTTATTTAGTGAATTTAACATGGACAGTTGGGGGTAGAGGTTTCGTAGAAATGTTGTTTTGTGAGTTTTGTTATTTTAAATACTCACAATACGTCTCTTATTGTGCGTTTCTGCTGCAGTTGCTGTATCATCGTGGATGGTTCAAAGCAGTTGAAGCTGCTAAGAGTGGTTTAAATGCATCACTGCTTGTGCGACACCCAGAGACCAAGGTATACTTTTTTCCGTTTTGATTTATTGGCTCTGGTCATAAGATTAGTTTTTGAACGAATTGTTTGTTTTATGTCCTCAGAAACTCTTCGTGAACTTTGATCCACAAATCCTTGAGTTGATTCAGGAGGCCAAATGTATGCGAAGGCTAAACCTCGAGGTAAATAAGAATATGGAAAGTATGATGGTTTATGATGACTATTTATTTAACAAAGCCACAGAGAGAACACATTTGTTGGAAATATTCTCGCAGATAGTAACAGCTTTTAGCACAATTGTTCAGGTAATTACAGAGATGTGCGCGCTCTTATTGGTCGAGGATTGAGTCAAATCTCGTTGTAATCACCTCGCGCGAGGTAATTATAGCAGGAGTGCTAAATTTCAAAATAGCCGCCTTGCCCTTTTGTCAGTGTTACTGGGAAAGTTATCAACGCGATAAAGAAAATTCAATTCCGAAGAGCACAAAAGATGCTTTTTAGTTTGGAGTAACACAGTAAAACTTGCAAAAGATAGATATGAAGTTTTTGCTGATTGAATCAAATGAACGTATCAAATTCTAGTGGAAACTGGCTCTTTTTCTTGATACGAGTTCTCAAAACAATTGAAACAGAATATTTTCATCATCAAAACGAATATTTACAACCGAATTCGAAAGCACCCAAGCAATTATACTAAGAGATTGTTAATTATTACTTCGAAAGATTTTTCAACCGTCCACAATGATTCGGTAGACCTGTCAATGAGTATCATATATCTTACAATCTGTTTTACAGATACCCGAGGCTGCGCAAGTTATGTGCATGAAAGAGGAACAATTCAAAACTTGCAACAACAGGTTTGTAACACAGTCCTTTGTCTATCAATTTTGCTGGTTAATTTCCACTCGGAACCTCTCGCTAGGAACTCTGATGACTTACGTCTTACCAAACATTGTAATTCGATGAAGTTTAGCAGAAGATAGAATCGGCCAGTACGGTAGTTTATTATCAGTAATGAATGGAAATTTGAATCTTCATGCCTTAAACGTTCACTTTACATATCTCTTTTACAGGCTCCAAGAGGTTTTAAAGGAGTACGACTCAGTCGTCTCAGGGATCCCAGAAAATGTGTTGCCTCTGATGAAGCCATTCACCGACCGTGTTGACGAAACGATCAAACCTGGACTGACTATGTTGAACTGGACTTCCCTAAATGTTCATTCTTGTGAGTACAACCACTAAGTCATGTCCTGAAAATTGTTTAGGTTCTTGTTACATGCATTTAGATCTTAAGGGTCTGTAAAAGAGTACTAGTATTGAAGTAGGAAAAAATTTAGAAACGTGGTCTTAGAGACCTTTTAAAAGTTGGGGAAATAGGGGTAAAATCTTGAAAAAAGAGGGAGAAGTCTGGAATATTTGCTAAGTTGCGACAAAGGTTTAATTTCTGGTGAGGTTTTTGGTTAATAGCTGGATTTAATGCTATTACTGGTCTCGTTTAATCGATGTAAGTGAGGAATTTGTGATTGTGACATAAAATCCTCGCAGTTACTATTGTATTCAGCTCATGCAATCTGATTCATAATATTGAGTGTGGAAACTAGACGAACGTTGTTTTGAAAAGTAAGGAAAAAACATTTCAATTTAGACAGATATTTGCGTGAATCTTGCTTCTTGAACCTTAACGGAGTGGTCTTGAATCTGTACTTAGTAAAACATGCAAGTCCAAATGAGGTGTAATGATTTTAATGCTCTTTATAATGTCATCAAATCTGCAGATATCAACAGCATTCAAAAGTCCGTGAAGGGACTTGAAATTCTTACGAAAGGGGTGAGTGGTTTTTGAAAATATTGCTTTTTTTCTCAGTTGATTTATCAAGAAATTGGACTATTATGGCGTCATTACCGTTGTGTGATATATTATTTTTGTGGTCCAGTATGCTCCATTTTAACAGCAAGAAAATGCCTATTGCATGTCAAAGTCAATAGTGCTGATTGCTGATATTGAGAGTTCTTGCATTTAAGGTGAAAGACATGCTTGACTGTCGAATAGAAGCAGTTTTGCAAGATATTGAGTTAACACGGCTGTGTGATCTGCCAGAAGATGAGGCTGTTACTGTGGAGGATTTTGTTGCTGTTACTGAGAAAACATGTCAAGAGTCTGCCGAATCTTTGTCCAAGTGAGCTCTACTTATGTGAATCAGAAATACTAATTTACTCACAATTTAGGCAGGGCTTCAAGTTCAAATATTTCATGGCGTGGTGACCAGAAACTGTATTCAGGTCGCAGTTTTTTTTGTTATTTAAAAACCATTGATATTACTGTATGCATATGGTTATACCCTTCCAACCTTGCTTAGGTCGTCAAATTAGAAATTTTCGCGGTAAATGTAGTCGTCAAAACGTTTTAATCTATACGCGTCATGACGACCCAAAAAAAAGCAGCTCGGAGCGCTGGACAAGATCTTAGGTCAGATAGTTCATGATGTTTGACATTCAGACTTAGCTATCGAAACCAATGGAGATTGGAATTGAACCAGGTCGCAATTTGGGACCCAGTACTGCAACTATGGCAGTTTTTTTACAGCGTTCTTGTAACATTTAAGCTATGGGTACAATTCTTTTTTGTAACAAAGTTTGTTACGTTTACTTAGGTACAACCATCTTGTAGAATCATCAGTAAACATCCTTCTTCAAACTCTTAAAGACAACTTGAGGCCAAACGAATTAACAGGCCTTGATAAAGAAAACTACCCCTGTCTGTACCCGGAGTCAAAACAGGCCAAGAACAACAAAGGAAACAGGTGCTGGGAATGTATGCCTTGCTGCTATTGGAGCTTGTTCATCTTTTTCAATCAAAGATGCATTGAAGCTTTGGTTAAATCGAAAAGACAATCATTGGATGCCATCAAGAGGCGAATGCAAGCAGCCAGTAAACACAGCAAGGATTTGTCTGACTCAGATGCCAAGTCCCCGGCACTGTTTAAGGTGAATCCTACACTTTTTCTCTTCTCCGTTCAATGTTTTCCCTTCTGCCTTCCACCTTCCTCCTTAACTATCATCCTGGAATCTTGATTCGTTCTGCCTCCCTGCCTTTCCCTGCTGCGATGACCCTTCTGTCAATCTGTAGGGTCTGTATTTTGTTTTTCCATTTGCTTTTTCTTTGTTTCTCTGTTTGTTGCTTGCCTACTTTCCTTTTGATATTGCTTCCTCCAACTTTACTAAGTTCCTCGCGACTTTCTTTTTCTCTCCTTTTCTTCTTTGCTGAACAATTTGTTATCTGCCTTCTGCCTCGCCTTTGTTTCTTCATTTTCTTCTTTTCTACTGTTTTTTTTTCTCATTATCTCTCTTGCTCATTCCACTTAATTATTTCGTCTCATTTTCCCATTTTCTTACCACTTTCTACTCGTTCTCTTACTTTCTTCTTTCCTTAATTCAACCCTCTTCGCTGAAATGAGTCTGCCTTCTCTTTAATGCTTGCAATTTTTTTTACTAGGCTGACATCGTGTTGGAGATCCCTTCAATTGTAATGAAACCCAGCTTAGATGACATTCAGCAGGCTTTAAACAAAACTGTACAGATTATGCTGAAAACAACTCAGGTAACATAGCGAAGCGTCGAAGGCAACTGTACATTAAACCCTCACAGGACACAGATCTGAACGTGTGTCTAACAGTCGTTGTAAATGAAAGTGACATTTGTAATTTTCATCTCCGTTTCCACTTTCTGTGGATAGTAATCGCACTGTATATTTAGGCAGGTTATACATTCAGAAGTGCACTGAAATGTGAATATGAGTCTGTTGAGATGTTGGTAAGACTAATCTTTGTTTTGGTTATCTCATGAGTTATGATCACTGTACAAAGCATAACACTTTGTTAATTCTACTTCTAAAGAACGTCTATGAATGGGAACAACACGGAGTCATCCATCAGCCTCCCATCATTGTTGCTGAAGAAGGAAAAGTTCTTCCTCCTCTGGCACCCAAGTCTCTTTACAAGCTGGTGTCTGAACACAAAGACGTAACAAAGGTATGCAGCCACTTATTTGGTCCTTTTTTCGGTAACTACTTTTGTAACCTGCCATAATCTTGTTAACCTGTGGTAGTTTACCTCTTCCAATTCCACATGTGTTTAAGCGTCATTATATTTGGATACTTTAGTCCAATCGTTCTGAGCGGTAGCGCTACCATCTAAGTTATATGGGGTTCGAGGAGGTTCGTAGCGGTACTGTTTTGTACTTTTTTGTGCCGGATTACTTTAGTCGTTCAAATAAAATTACTCTCAATGTAGAGTTAATCTGTTTTTGACAGACAGGAAAATAATGGTTGTTTTTTGATAGGTGATCATTACTTTGAGTTCAGTTGTAAGCTCATTAAAAATGGATGCCACGAAGATTTTGGACGAGATGGACCAATTTAAAGAGCTGTGGAACCAGGTAATGTTCAGTAATAATTTCCAAAATTACAATAAAAAAATATACAGTTGAAGCTGTTTAATTGTCATCGCAGAAAAAAGGACTCGAAACTCTTAAATGAATGAAATATAAGGGTCTCAGATAATTCTTAATTTTTCCCAGGCTTTGATCAGTTTGTGTCTTAGATCAGCTTTTTATCTTTCTCGACCGAATACAGTAGAACTGTTGCTTTAAATGGTCTTTATGGTTTTTATTGTCATTGTTGTTGTTTTCAGGATCCCAACACCAAAGTGAAAGAGTTCATGGAGTCCAAACCTTTGTTATCAGACTTTGATGCCCAGATCAAATATTACCAGCGTCTGGAGACTCAGATTGAAGAGCTACCCGGAAGTTATCACATTGGTCCTGTTGAGTATCTTACAGACAGGATCAAAGAAGCTTTGGTCACAGAAACTAAAGCCTGGAAGCAAGCATTTGGAAAAGCACTGGCGGAGAAGGTAACGATCCCCTTTTCTGTCAGAAAAATTTTTTTGATTGTTGAACGAAGGTGACCACAAGCTCAATAGTCAAATAGAGGACGTGCCTTAACTTGTGTTGTCGTGATGGAAAAATTGTTAGAGCCGTCAACATCGCAAGACGAATTTATGCGGACTTATGCTACAGCTGTGCAGTGACTTTGGCTTATTAAGAGCGTAAGAAAGTTTTAAGGAGAATACATTTCCCTTGTATTTCGCTGAACTTGATTTTAGGTCTCAGTTGAACTTGTCCTAGATTCCAAGAGCCTTATTTACGGAATAAGAAGTTCAAATTTTGATGAAAATTTTGACGCTATGGAACTTTTATTATTGTCAATGATGTGTCTGAGTACAAGCAATTTTTTTTTATCTCGTAGGCAAGTGCAGATATGGAAGAAATTTTCCTGTTCATTGACAACCTGAACAAGAGACTCGCTCGTGGTATTAAGGATCTTGATGACGTGAGAAGCAGCATGGCCGCTCTCAGTGAGATCAGAGAATCGGAGATAAGGTTTGTGCTAAATGTAACTTTGTATGTTTGCGCCTGCCATTTCTCGCCAATTTAAACTTGAATAAAATTTGGTCGCTCTAAAGAGAAGATCATCGTAAATGTATGTTGTTGGTCAATTATTTATCAGGGCGCAGAAGAAACTTGAATTTTGGAACGTAGCTTTTCTTTAATTTAAGCTGCAAATCATTGCTTCGTTTTCGAGAAATAGCTCCGATGTTGAAAAGTACAGTTCTCTGTCTTTGTTCTTGAGAGAATAGAAGAAGAAGGTATCTGATTCAACATACTTTTTTTGCGCGAACTCAAAGTCTTCTATTACCCGAAGAACTTTTTCAAGGCATTGTTGGTCTCAAGGCCCTCAAAGGTATGGTACATTATGGTTTTTGAAGAAGGCTTTTTCTTTCCGTAGGATCGACATGACAATCGGTCCAATCGAGGAATCATTTGCCATGATGAATCGATATGGGTTGGTATATTCTAGCAGTGATGCTGAAAGAGTTGACGGTCTTACTTACGCGTGGCGTAAATTACATGCACAGGTGAGTGTTACCAATTTAGAGGGTATTGCTTTCCCACCGTATAGGATGCGTTGTGGCATGTAATTATTATTTGTTACGACTTTGGATGTGACCATGTATTCAAGAGAACTAAATGTTATAGAGTTTTTAGAGTTTTTAGAGCACAAACACCAGTGCTTCACATCTGATCTAACAGAAACGAGTACGGTCAAACTCAAGGTGGATTTCGTACACATTTCCTAAGAACTAACTTCCCTTTGTCACTTTTAATAGGCTGGTACTGTGGCCAGTCACCTGCTGCAGATCCAACCCACATTTAAGTCGGATCTCTTGGATGGTGTGGAAAAGTTTAAAGCGATGGTTACTACATTTGTTCTGGAATACAACGAAAAGTAAGTGAGACTGGCGGGTAACGGCTCTGTCATACCGTGAAATTTTGCCATCCCGGAGAGATGCAACATTTCCGCAACATTTCCGCAGTCGCTCCGTGGAGTAAAATTCGCCTCCTCTAATAAAAGCTTTGCTAGACAATTTTTCATCGAAGGTTTTGTTCAAGATTTGGCGTTATTTTTGAAAAAAAACGTTTGGCGTTTCATTGAAAGCGTAAAATTTATGTTCTGTTGTATTTTAGAGGCCCCATGGTTTCTGGGATTCCACCAAGGGAAGCCAGCGATCGCCTGGGAATTTTCCAGGCTCGGTTTGATGAGCTTTGGAGAAAGTATGAAACATACTCGGGTAAGTTCATAATTTTTGGAAGAGACTTCAAGTGAGATCTTGGGAATCAGCTTGATCTCGCCAGTGATGACTGATAGCCGTGTGATCTTTTTTTTTCCGCTCAGTATGTCATGTACAATGTGATCGAACCGCGCTAAAGTAGAAAAATAGATTCCAAGTTGTCGTGCGTCTGAATTGTAACAGATCACAAATGACGTTTAAATGTGGTGAGGACAAAAAAGTGGCACACGAGGCGCAGTCGAGTGCGTCACTGATGTTCTATTCGTTTCATATGATAAAGTTGCAAATGTTGTTAAAGGTGACAGCATCCATGCGTCAGTCCTCCAATGGTTAAAACTAACCAAAATGCATTTATAATTCAGCTTTTGATCTTAAGTTACCTATCTACCGCGTCTCTATAGAATCGCCCAATGGAAACTTGTTAATTAAAATTTTAGGCAGGCGTAACAGCCAGGAGTGCTATGACTAAGTTTTCCAAATGAGCAATTGCTGAAAAGATATATTCGTCTATCATGTTTCTGTTGTTGGTGTTTTTTTCTTTCTTTTTTTAATTCCCGATTTTGATTTTATTACATTCAAGGTGGCGAGGAGCTGTTTGGTCTGACTGTCACCGAGTATCCGAACTTGCAGAGAATCCGAAAGGAACTGGGACTACTTCAGAAGCTTTACAGCTTGTACAACGCTGTCATCGAGAACGTGAACGGCTATTATGATATCCTGTGGCAAGAAATTGACATTGAAAAGATAAACAACGAACTGCTGGAATATCAGAACAGGTAAGCGGTTGAATTCATGGTTTTTCCAAGAATCTAATCGTGAATTAACACTTACCATGTTTGAACTCATCATTTGTGGCTTTTTAATACAGGATTCGTAAACTACCTAAAGCTCTCAAGGAGTGGCAAGCCTTCCTGGATCTGAAGAAGACCATTGACGATTTCAGCGAGTGTTGTCCCCTTCTCGAGATGATGGCGCACAAGGCTATGAAACAAAGACATTGGGAAAGAATTTCAACCATTACTGGTGTCACGCTTGACGTAGAATCGGAAACGTTCCAGTTGAGACAACTGATGAGCGCACCTCTGTTACCGAACAAAGAAGACATTGAGGTATGTGAAACATTAGTCCGACACTACATCACTGGCAATTGAATTTGATTCGAGAGAATTGGTTTGATTAGTGCGCAAATTATTTTGCGAACGATATTTATTCAGAAGCTGCTGCTTCAAAGGTAGGGAAAGTTAGGAAGAGAGACACCTCTTTCGTGCTTTACAACAGAGTGGAGCGTTGTCGAGGCTTCCTCATCCATTAAAGTATTTTCGTGCAAACTGAAACATAGTTAAAAAAAATTTCGGCCGACGTATTTTGTTCTCTTTGCTCCAAACTCAATCCAATGAAATCTTCTTCAATTTTGCGTTTAGGTGTCCCTTTTATGGTCGTTATAACCCCTTTACGGTTTTTTAGCTCTTTACTCACACAGAGCTATCATCATTGCTGATCCTAACTGTATGCAGGACCATTGTCATACATAAGCCTCGTTAATGCTCAGCTTTCTATAGAATCTCTGTAGCTCAGTGGTAGGGCATTTGAGCGTATTTTCGAGGTTCCAATCCTCATGGGGACTCGGGTATTTTTTGTTGTCTCACATTCGTGATAAGAAGAAAAAATACCTCAATCTCTTTTTATTTCTTACAGGATGTTTGCATTGCAGCCGTTAAAGAGCGTGACATTGACTTTAAGTTGAAGGGTGTGGTGTCTGAATGGAGCACACAGGTGTTTTCTTTCTCAAACTTCAAAAATCGTGGCGAGTTGCTCCTCAAAGGAGCCGAGACGTCTGACATTGTATCTTTAATGGAAGACAGTTTGATGATCCTTGGCTCTCTTCTAAGCAACAGGTAAGCCACTTTTGTTTTCACTTGAAGGACTGTCTAGGTCAGTAGGGCCATAGCAGTCATGGAGATTAGAGAACTGCCCCCAACTACCATTTAGTAAACAGAAACGTACTTTTACGGCCCAGCGACGCGAAATGAAGTTTTGCACGCGCTTCCCTAATTGTATCGCGCTAGTGTTTACTAACTGAGGGCTTGGCAAAGGCTTGAAAAAGGAAAGGAAAAATAAAAACATAAAAAGAGAGTAGGAGTTAAGATGATATAAAAATTACCAACATTCTTTATCTAATGACCGCACTGAAAATTCTCATTTCCCACTTAGGAAAATAACAGCGGCGATTAAATTTTTCTTTAGTAGTTTGTTTGTTCTCTAAGTAATAATTATGCATCCCCATTCCAAAAGACGATCAAAAGAAAGGTCGAAAACTGAACCGCCACCGGAATTTTTTTGGATTTTTTTTTTACCACGTACACATTTTTACAGCAGTAACATTTCCTCCTTAAAGGTATAATGCTCCGTTCAAAGCTGAAATCCAAAAGTGGGTGGCAAAACTAACGGGATCCACGGAGATTATCGAGAATTGGCTTGTGGTGCAAAACTTGTGGGTATACTTGGAGGCAGTGTTTGTTGGTGGGGACATCGCTAAACAGTTACCTCAGGTTTGTTTTGCTATTTATTCTGAGTTCCAGTATCCATTTGCCGTTGTACTGCACTCAGAGAGTCTTAAACATGACGATGACCTTTTCACTCCCAGGATCTCATTAGTAATTCTCCTTACTGTCTGCCATACAACTCTTATGTTTTTACTTCGGAGAATTGGGTATTGGATCAACTAATAACCCCCCTGTTGATATTTTTTTCTATATTGGATTAGCTAACAATCCCCTAATTGATATTTTCTTCAATTCTCATCACTTGTTTGCTTGATATTGTACTGATATTAAAAGGAAGAATTCTGTCTTGATGACTCATGCGATTTAAAGGGTTAAGCCAGACCTCAGTGAACGCCTTGGGTTGGAAGATCACCCTTCTGTTTGTCCAACCTGCCACTCCTGTTAATTATTTCGATTGAAAATCAATCTTTGGGTGGTGGTTTTAAAGGTGGCCTTGTCCTTGTAGATCAGAAAACAAGTTAGCAATAGCCGGCTTAAAAAAGATTATATAGTCGGTTTCATTCAGTTCAACAAAGGACCAAATCTTGAACAGTAGAGGTCTAACGATCGAAAATCTTTCCTTAACTCCTCAATATTGTCGCTACTTCATGATTTATGTGCCGAGATAATCGCTCAAAGCTACCTCATTGCTCTGTTACGCCCCACCCACAGGAAGCGAAACGTTTCAGTCAGATTGATAAATCATGGGTGAAGATCATGAGCCGGGCACACGAGAACTCCAACGTAGTGCAATGCTGCATGGGCGATGACACTCTTGGACAACTGCTTCCTCACATTCTGGAACAGCTTGAGATTTGTCAGAAATCTCTGAGCGGGTAAGGAGAGAGAAAAAGGGTTATGGTTATGGGGCTAGAGGATTTATTATAATTGTGTTGCGAAAGGACTCTCTCTATCTATTTGAAGAGGAGAATAAATGGCATTTTGCGTCAGTTTGACCAATCTCTGATATTAACTAACAAGGGACCCGTCCCGTCCCGTAAGTTACTCGTCCCGAAAAGCTGTTTTTTGTATGCGGTGTTAGCATTTAAAATCGAGATGTGAATAGTTTAAAATTTCAGAAATTGAGATATCTAGAAAAGAAACAGATTGGGTGGGTTCTTGAGCCTCTGTACTATTTCATATATTTAGAATTTGGCTTCCGCCCTTCATTAAGTTACTGGAACTTTCGAGAAACGGGCCCAGGTTTCTTTATGAAGTGCGTGCAAATACAAAAACCTTCCTTGCACAACTACTGTCTGAGGATTTTCAAAAGTTGTAAACAAACGAAGGGATAAGTTAGGGAATATCTCATTTAGTTGAACCAGAGGCCAGTGAAACAGTTCATCATAAAATTGAAGTAGATGAAAATGAATTAATTACCGTAAGAAATTTGGAAAATAGAATGTTCCGCCGGAGAATGTGGCTTTATGAAAATCTCCCTTTAGGATAAGCCGTGTATCAGTGAGATACTTGGGTAGCACATCCTTGGGATTCGCTGTATATCACGATCTTTCCTGGTACCTTTAGGACAAAATGTTGATATTAAAGACATTTCATTTTTGATAACGCATAGCTACCTTGAAAAGAAACGACTTGTGTTCCCACGTTTCTTCTTCGTGTCCGACCCCGCCCTACTGGAAATCTTGGGACAGGCCAGCGACTCTCATACCATCCAGGCTCATCTGCTGGGAGTGTTCGACAACGTGAAAACTGTCACGTTCCACGAAAAGGAATATGACAAAATTCTGGCCATCAACTCGCGCGAAGGGGAGTCTGTTACTTTGGAGAACCCAGTCATGGCTCAGGTATGTAACTGTAAATTTTCATCCCGGAATTTAAGTAAAAAAGTGATTAAAGAGATCTTTTTTTCCGCGCTTATTGGTAACTTTTCTATGAGTTGTTCGGTGTTAAAATTATATCAATGTCAAGGTAATAATGGTGGGTTCGAGAGATGTAAAAGACTATGCCGCACTCTCTGTGTTGTAGCTCAGTTAGTTGAGGCGCCTTACTAGTATCTGGGAGGCACGAATACGAATCCCGTCGAAGCCTGAATTTTTCCAAGCTTCTTTCCTGCTATTGCTAAAATTGCGATCCATCAGCAAGGATAATTTCTTTTGTCTATCTGTCTGCTGGTTCCAGTGAAATTTATATTATCAAAAGTTGTTGAAATACCATTGTTGTAAATATTTTGACGGTATGACAGCCCTTAGAAGCCCCCGGAAGTCCATGGCAGTCCTTGGCTGGGAGTTAAGTAGGCAGGGAAGGAAAGGGGGAATGCAGTTTTTAAGGGCAGTCCTTTAGGGAGAACTGCATCCTTCGAGAGAAAGCTTTGCTCATGCTGCGCGCTGCAGGACACGTAGGCCCTGCTAAGAAAGGGAGAAAAAGAGATAAAAGGCTTCTGTTATACGCGTCTCTAAATTTTCACGAGATTAAGCTCTTTATCTTTGAATGTAAAGTTTATAATTATGTGTATCTCTTTAATTGTAGGGTAACGTGGAAGTGTGGCTAAACACACTGTTGAAAGAATCAGGGACTTCATTGCATTCAGTTATTCGAACTGCTTCAATCGCTATCAAGGATACTAGTTTTAAGCTCAAAGATTTCTTGGATACTTACCCGGCACAGGTGTGGTGCATTTTTACAAGGATATTAGTATTGGTAATAACATGATTTTGAGTGCAAGTTGGTGTTAATAAGCACGGGTAAAATGCAATTTGTAGTCTTTGATAAATTTACAAGTGCTTATTACACCAAATGACAAGAGAAATCATGTCATATCTTGTTAATAATTTACATGAAAAAACAACACAGAAAGGTGCGGGCGCTATTTGTAATTTACTCTCGTGTTACAACTTTGCACTCGTGTTACATGAGATTGCACTCGTTTTCAGCCAATAAGAAGCGCGTATTATTTTCACGTACATTATTAAGAGACAAAGTAAAGTTACTTTGTATTTAATGAAAATTCGATGAAAAACAGAAGCTTTCTTTACTGACACGCGAAAAACTCGCTATAGCGTTACAATGAACCTAATTATCTATCAATTTATTTCGTTGTGGTTTCAATTTTAGTGACACTTGTTTTAGGTGGCAGACATATTTTGTCGCCTGTTTGCTGTTGTTCGACTGTTTTGATTTATTGTTTTTGATGGTTGGATCGACATAGCAGTTGTCAAATTATTGACGATAGTATTATTATCTGTTCATTGTTCACTAAATTAGGTGCAGCGAGCGATGGCTCAGGGTTTCGTTGCGAATCTTTTAGTACTGAGTGTAATTATAACATGGTTGCTTTTGTTTTATATAAAAGGTCGGTTTGCTTGGAATCCAGATGATTTGGACTAGAGATGCTGAAGACTCGTTGACTTACGCTAAATCCAACAAAAAGGTGAGAACTATGCAGTGTATGGGCGTCATGTACTAAATTGAGCACTGATGTTGTTTATCAAGGCATCTCGGTCATCACAGTGTTGCAGCGGCTAATCTATTGCATCTATTTTTCTAAGTAATTTTTCCATTAAGGGTAGCAAACTTATACCCGTTTGAAAAGTCGAAGCACATCATCTTATGAAGAAAAACTCAACGTAAAAGTTTTTAATTTCCAGATACGCGAGAATTGTCAGTTACACAAGCAGATTATTGATTTTTTTAAAAAAATATATCTCCATGGGGCTTTCCCCTTAACAACGCATTTTGTGTAGTTCTATAAAAGTAAATCCACCTACTTGTGTCATGTATCAGCCGCTGTGTTTTTTTCGTAGATCATGGATGAAAGAAACCAGTTTTTCCTGAACATGTTAAACGAGTTGATCGAGGTAACCACGCAGGAACTGACCAAAGTGGAACGTGTCAAGTTTGAAACTCTCGTCACCATTCATGTTCATCAAAGGGACATTTTTGATGAATTGGTAAATATGAATTCATTAGTTGATTTTTATAAATTGATTTGTAAGGATGTAATTAATATCCAGATTAAAACGCAGCTGTAGAATATGGGAAACGTTTCGATTGAAAAAAGTTACAAACTATCATTAACGTGGTGAACAAGACCAAAAAAGGTAAAATTTCCTCAATTCTTTGAAACTTATTAAATTTGAAAAAAAAAAGGAAAATTGAAAGAAAATCTTATACCCCCAAAAAAGTCGTCAAATGGTTCGCCACGTTATTAGCTTGTGAGTTTACGAGTGGAGTCAACCATATATGGATTAGTGTCCTTCGACGGTTTTTTGTTGGATGGTCATGCCACACAGTGTGTTTTGTGGCTCAACCCGTTTCTCTCTGAGAAAGCGTGCTGTGTAGTAAAACCGAACAACAGCTGCGAAGAAGTCTTTATCAAGATATAAATGATTTATTTCCATTCCATCAATTTGTCACTAGTGCCGCAAGAATATCAAGGTACCGACAGATTTTGAATGGCTGAAACAGTCACGCTTCTACTTCCGTGAGGAGACTGATGAGTGTGTGGTGTCCATTACTGATGTGGATTTTGTTTATCAAAATGAATTCTTGGGATGTACCGACAGGCTTGTCATTACGCCTTTGACTGACAGGTAAGTATATATATGTTTTTTTTCAAAGAATCTTTGTACCTTTTCCATCGCTGTCTTTTTTTTTTCGCTCTGACAAATTATTGATCGCTCACGAGATTTGAAAAAATAATGTTTGCAAGAAACTAAAGCACTGGTTTATCGATGTCGGGCCTGTGGTGTGATGGTCAGCGGATAGACTCCAAGTCGCGGGAAGGTGCGAGCTGTGGGTATGGTTATCTTCGGGTCAAGTAGTCTCGCTCTTCGTGGGAAAGCGGTGGCCAAGCGCTTTAATCAATTACAAAAGAGAATTTCTTGACGATCTTTCCAGTTACTCGTAAACAAATAATGACCTTTACCGAGCTCAAAACTTACCATCTCTCTCAATCTATTTGCAAAAATAACCTTGGTTGTTCAGCAAAGTGTTGTATGTCGTTCACGAACGCTTTTTTTGTCTCTATCCTAGGTGTTACATCACTCTGGCCCAGGCCCTCGGAATGTCAATGGGTGGTGCCCCTGCAGGGCCGGCGGGTACTGGAAAGACAGAGACAACTAAGGTGAGACCTAAAAGAGGATGTTGTTTTTTCATTGGCTGATGAAGAAAGTTTAAAAGTTAGTTATTAGGAATGTCAGTGTCATTGAACAATTGTACCTGATATTTGTTCTAGGACATGGGCAAAGCTTTGGGTAAATTTGTAGTCGTTTTCAACTGCTCGGATCAGATGGACTACCGTGGTCTGGGTCGAATCTACAAAGGTACGTTTATTCTTGTCTGTTGCTCAGTTTAAGAATGACGTTTAAGGGGAACAGCAAATAGCGAAAAATGAATTCTGATTTCGTTCACTTTTGCTCTAATGTTTAAATCTATTCGGTAGAAAAATTTAGAGTTTCTTATTTGCTCATGTAATGGAAATATTCAACTTACGGGTGAGATAAACTGCAAGAATTAACGCAATAAGTTCAATTTTGGTTTTGCCGTTTGCAATCATACTTATCCTCTTGATATTGTTTCTTTGGATCGATATCAGCATCTGGGCAACTGCCCACCTACCCCTCCCCTAACTCAACAAGAGTCAATTGATAATAAGTTAGGGTTAATGTTGAGTTAGGGGAGGGGTAAGTGGGCAGTTGCCTAGATACTGATATTGATCCGTTTTTTCTTTATTTATTCTCACAGTGACGTTTCATGCACCTCGAAAAATGTAGGCTAAATTTTTCAAGTTTGTTATTTATATAATCGGCATTATTTATCGAGACTGGCCTAGTTCAGCTTCATGCTGGTTTAGGGCCATTTAGGGCGCAAGTTGACGTGATTTGGGTTAAATAACTGATGTTTTTCTTCATTCTATCAGGTTTGGCGCAGTCTGGAAGCTGGGGCTGTTTCGACGAGTTCAATCGCATCGAGCTACCTGTACTGTCCGTGGCCGCTCAACAAATTCACGTTGTGCTCACGTGCAAGAAAGAGAGGAAGAAGATGTTTATTTTCACGGATGGCGATGAAGTTGATATGGATCCAGAGTTCGGTATCTTTTTGACCATGGTAAGTGTGAGGACAGTATACAACCATATCGAGTAAAAATGTTTGGGATATTTCCATAAAATGATGAAAAAATTAAAATTTTTCATTGATCCAAATTATCGTTCATTCTTTAGTGTTCCTTCTCCTAAACTTTCCCCGCCCCCTTTCCCAGAAATAATATGTGAGCACGCTAGCTACTGATTGCCCATAGATGAGAGCAAGATTTTTATTGGTATATGGTTTGGAGGGAAACATGATGAAATATGATAGAATTTGGACTGAAGATATCCTCTCAAATGTATCGTGTAGCGTTTTTCTTGCTTAATTTATGGGTCATGCCAGGAATACAATATTTATGCACCGCCTATTCTCAGATATATTCCTCTTGGTCAAATATCGTATTTTGGTTTGGCAGCTAGCAACGTTTATGACCAAAACTGTAGGTCATTTGTTTTTCTGGCACAGCAGATAATAGAAATTTTCTAACTGTTTGAATAGAACCCAGGCTATGCCGGGCGCCAAGAGCTGCCAGAAAATTTGAAGATCATGTTCCGCACAGTAGCGATGATGGTACCTGACAGACAGATCATTATCCGTGTCAAGCTTGCTGCCAGTGGTTTTATCAGAAATATCAACTTATCCCAGAAATTCTTCACTTTGTATAAACTGTGCGAGGAACAGCTCACCAAACAGGTTTGTCTGATGTTTCTTTTTTACCGTTTCAATGGAGTTTTGCATTGTTTGGCTAACAGGCTGGTGATATCTACCAACACAAAAGGAGTGTAAGAATTTTCGTTACTAAGATCGCAGTTATTGAACAAAATCATCTGTTAACCTTCTAATTGACTTTTAACTCGCGTGGACCTAAAATGTACTGGTATTTCGAGCAAGATACACGTCGAGAAATATTTTAAACATAACTTGTCACTTCTGAATTTGTTGCTCTTAACCCCAGGTGCATTACGATTTCGGTCTTCGGAACATTTTGTCTGTGCTCAGGACTCTTGGAGCAGTGAAAAGAGCCAATCCAGAGGTAACGTGCTTTCCACTTCTATCTCTTTTACCATCATTCAATAAGTCGATTCTCTAGGTTATGCATGCTTCGACAGTTACTTAGGTTGGTTTCCCTTTGTACGTAATAACAGCTTAGATAAGTGCGTGGATCCGTAGCGCGCGTTTCTTGCGTGAGTGTTTTAGAGGAGCGGGTAAGCGTAGACCCTCGCGAGGGAAAATACTTTCTTGCGCATGTCATACTCGCACCATGATCAAACTTAGCGACTTTTGTCGTCGGCTACGAATTTGCCTATCGCATTAGTATTAATAACTCGCCTTTTTCCTTTACTACTATTGTCATTGAGTATCACCTTCGAATAGCGCCTCTTTGTACTAAACTCTCCTTGAAAGCAGCTCTTTAACTTTGGTCTGTCGTGACCTCATATTCTGCAATTAAAATCCATTAGTTTTTTGTTTCTCTTCTTCTTACGAAAGCAATTTATACTGTTTTCCTCCGTTAACAGGATAGTGAAGATCGTATTGTGATGCGAGTGTTGCGTGACATGAACTTGAGCAAGCTGGTCGACGAAGATGAACCACTGTTCATGAGTTTGATTGACGACTTGTTCCCAGGCCTTACTCTAGACAAAGCGGGATACCCGGATATTGAACAAGCCATTGCTGACGCTGTCGAGGAAGTTAAACTTGTTAATCACGCACCATGGACACTCAAACTGATTCAGGTTTTACATTTTTTCTATAATGATACTTCAGTAAACAATTTTTCAGGTGATCAAAGTAGCGGAAACATGGAGAATTACTGACCTGAATTGCAAACAACGTAAAAAAACTTTATATTGAATTTTTGAAATCCACAAACGATTTCGTGGTTCATTTAAAGTGGAGGATTTATCGGTGCTGAAACAATTTTTACTTGGAAATACCCTCGGAGTTGGCTTAACACAGCACCATATGATACTTTTTCCTAGTAGTGCTTAACAATATTACGTGGAGTTAACTGTGTCCTTCTGCTCACCAGCTCTATGAAACTCAGCGCGTCCGTCATGGTATGATGGCCCTGGGTCCCAGTGGTGCTGGAAAGACCAAATGTATAAACATTCTGATGAAAGCCATGACACAGTGTGGTGCACCGCACAAAGAGTACCGCATGAATCCTAAGGTAACAAGACAACTACGCTCTGCTCACTGATTTATCATGTTAACTAAAATTTTTTTTTAGACATTCGTTACTGGCGAGTGTCACTGAGGAGAATTGTGAGAAACAGGATTCTGCCCTACTAGGTTAACGGTCGAGCTCTCACAGTCTGACGATTTACCTGGTTCGTGTACGTCACAGGACCTGGGTTTTGCTGAATGAACATAGAGGTTCATGCATTTCTTTTAACACTAAGAGGACCAAGAAGCTGTTGTTGGCAAGAATGTTTGAGTACTATTGTTGATATCGGAGAAATTTGACGTTTCGTCAAATGTAGCGCTTATGGTCATGTGTAACGTTTATTTTTCTCATCAGGCAATCACTGCTCCTCAAATGTTTGGTCGACTGGATGTCTCCACCAATGATTGGACCGACGGAATCTTTTCCACGCTTTGGAGACGAACCCTAAGGGCAAAGAAAGTAAGTATTTATGCAAAAAGTGGAGTTTTTTGTCTAGCATGATCTGGAGTGATTAAAACCTCAGACTTTTCTCTTAAACTGTAAAGCGCTGTTGAATGCTGTACAAAATACTACACATTCAATCATGCTTCGAACGTCTGTTACACTATTTGATTCCTCTTCCCGGACTTCAGTTTACTCATTTGTCGTCTTGTCAGCTTGGGTTTTCAAACCATATGTTTACCTCCACGATAAAAAAGGAAATACTATCTAGAGGAGAACGTAATGTTTCCTTTTAACGTTCAAATATCACTGTGCCTTTTTTTTTTGCTAGGGAGAGCATATATGGATTGTTTTAGACGGTCCTGTGGACGCTATCTGGATTGAAAATCTGAACAGTGTGTTGGATGACAACAAAACACTAACCCTGGCTAATGGTGATCGAATTCCAATGGCGCCAAACTGCAAGGTTGTGTTTGAACCCCATAACATTGACAACGCTTCACCTGCCACGGTTTCAAGGTAAAACAACAATTCGCTTTCGGGAAATTTACTTTAATGAGAAGTTAGTAGCTTTTGTGACATTTTTTATTCGAGCGCTTTTCGACTGAGTGTCGCAAAAACAAAACCAAAGCAATCAAAACGGCCAATCAGAATTAAAGAAATATCACAAGCAACCGCCAAGGGCTCAAAATGAAGACGAGAAACTTCCTGAAGTGAGGGAAAATGCTCGGGACTAAGTTGCGATTTGTCTTAATTTTCATCTGATTTTCCCCGGGAGGAGGCGTGAATTTCCACGCTAATTACAGAGCGTAGAAGAGCGCTTTTCGATCGAGTGCCGCAAAACCAAACCCAAAATCATCACAACGGCCATCAGAGGTGAGGAAATTACCTTTTAGAGCCCATGAGAATTCAGAGTAAAAACAACCAAACTGCCCAAAGCGCAGGAAGTTAAATGCAAGCGATAAAGTCGTGATTGGTTCTAGGCTTGCCACTTGTTGAGTGAGAGAGTGGTGCGAGTTTTCTGGACCAATCACACAGCGAAGTTAAGCAAAACCAATGCCGTGCCGGATTATTTTCAACACTCTACTGAAAATTACTCTAAAACAAACACCCATGTAATCGCGAATTACTTTCGACGCTCAGTTTGAGATTGCTTTGTAATTGCATTACGTTATCAACAATTCCATCATTCTTACATTCTCTTGTACAGAAATGGTATGGTTTATATGAGTTCATCTGCGCTGGATTGGAGACCTATTTTACAGGTTAGCTGTGTAGTTTAATCTCTTTTAACACTACGTTTTGACTTTATTTATTTATCATAAGACGTTTTTAGTGGTTCTGAACTCTTCTAAGTTGATCGTAACTCTGATTTTTCATCACTAGGGATGGTTAAACACACGTCCTCAACTCGAGGCTGATGTGCTCTTCTCTCTGTTTGAGAGTGTGTTCGATGAACTGAGGACATTTGTTATTCAGAATTGTGTGCCAAAGATGGAGGTAAGTAACACTTCAGTTTCTGTGCGTAACGCGCTTGATTTACAGTGTTTAAAATTACGGGTAGACCTTTTTGCTTCGCAAGGTTCGATCACATTCACCACTTTGCCTCATCGTAGGGTGGGAAAAGAAATTTGCCCAAGCAAATGGCTAGTATAACCTCAGCCAAAGTAAGTCATCTATTCCCTCTCGTCTATTTATTTATTAATTTTTTTTTTCATACAGGTACTTGAGTGTAACAACATCGTTCAAGCCATGAACATTCTTGAAGGTTTGATTCCGGGCGAGGATGCCCCAAAACAAGTCGATGCGAGCCATTTGGAAAAATTGTTTGTGTTTTCTCTCATGTGGAGTGTCGGAGCTCTGCTTGAGCTTGAAGATCGTAAGAAGGTAACGAAGTGCAACGAGTTTAAATGATTTAGCATAACACTTTCCCCTATTTATAATTTTCGAATGATATATCTTCTTGACAAATGTTTCAATACTGCAGAATTATAGGATTGTCGTTCCCGACGTTGTAAGCTACTGAATGTTTGCATTCCCCGAATTCTTAGCAGTCTACAATTGGTATTCCGCACTAAGGTCAGCTTCAAATAACTGAGATCCTAATCAGCTTTAAAAGGAACGAAGTTTTAAGAATGCGGTTCGCTATACACTAGAAAAGATACGAGAGAGGAACGAGTGTGGCTACATTTTGAGATGTTAAATACAGATGGAAAACCAAAACACTGTATGCCTTGGGGTTCCAAGGTTTTTCTTCTATGCAAGTGCTAATTTCTGCGAAAAAGGTTTTCAGTTCTTGAGCTCATCAGCTTCTTGTGTCAGCTAATTAGTTTCTCTGGTGTCATTCACACTGAAGGACATAATTGAGGTTTGATGTTAGTTCTCTATTTCTTTTCTTAGATGGAAGGATTTTTGAGTGGAAAAGGTAGCCTCAATTTACCTCCAGTTGAAGGACAAGACACAATTTTTGAATATCTGGTGAACGAGCAAGGAGAATGGGAACATTGGTCACAAAGGGTCAGTTATTTCAACCACATATCACGAATCCTAACATTTTCCTGTTGTGTCATTGGCGTCAATAGGTCAGGTCACGTGACACACTAATACCCCGTTCACACCAAAGCTTAAACATGTTAAAAATCTGTTTTGATAAGCAGATTTAATAAGACTAGCCATTCACACTGCGGGCGCGTTTATCAATACTCGTCTAAAACCGTGTTTAACAAAACTACCTCGCGAGGTACTTTAACAATCGTGTTTAATAAAACACATTCAAAATGGCGGAAGAAACTAAAACGCGCGGAAGAGTTTGGGTGCACAAAGAAACCCTCCTGTTACTTGAAAAGTGGGGAGACGAGAATATCCAACTCCAGCTAAAATCATGCATAAGAAAAAAGCCTATATGGTTAGAAATTGCGGCATATCTTCGAGCTGCAGGCTATGAAGACAGAGACGACGGCAGCCGCAAGACACGAATTCACACTCTGATAAGCGCCTATAGAAGCTACAAGGACGAATGCGCCAAGACGGGAAATGCCACACCAAAGAAGAAGCTGGCTTTCTTCTCTCCGTGTTTACCAAAACAAAAGCACAATATTTCGCCCATCTACCATTTTGTTTACGTTTTAAATATTGTGGCTGTATGATGTTGTAACACTTTACGTCAATTACAATTACACGAACGCGAGGCAGCTCTTGTTGTTCGGTGTGAACGGGTTGATCAGTTAACCATGTTTTATTAAGCATGGTTTCATTAAACTTTGTTTAATTAAACATGTTTTGATGGTGTTAACGGGGTATAAGACTGAAGTATCAAGTCATATGCACCTCATTTATCAGTGTTCAAAATTACCGTGTAACGTTCGCAAACTTAGTTGTAAAGCCTGTTTTCATTTCCAGACATTTGTGTTCAATTTGTACGGCTCAATGGACGATCAGATTATCATTGCATTTCATGCAAACACAACCTTGCCCTCTTTTACGTACCGATTTCAAGTTCTCCAGTGAAACTTTTCCTAGCGAGAATATCGGCAGGAGGGTATACTGGATAGCCTCTACTCGACCTTTTTCGCTTCTTCGTTATCAGTTACTTGTCCTGTTGCATTGCCCTTGAAAGAATATTTTTTTCACTATCGCGGTAATTTTATTTCTTCCCAAGTTATGACTTACTACTATGATTCTTTTGTAGGTTCCTGTCTATGAATATCCGAAGACTACCATACCAGAGTACGCTTCTATTTTGGTTCCTAATGTGGATAACACTCGAACTGACTACCTTATCCACGCTTTGGCCAAACAGGGCAAGGTAACTATACTTCAGTTTCGATTTTCGATATAAACATTTATTTTGTTAGTATCGTTTATATTTCTATTGACAGGAGTTAGATTGTCAGAATAGTCCACGGATCCAGCTGTTGTCCAGGGTATTAATTAGGCACCAGAGATTGGACAACTCTTAAAGTTTCGATGGCCTGAGCTTTTTTTTTATTCATACATGGAGAACATAATTCCCTTATTTTACACTATTCTTCTGCTACTAAATTTCTTCATCAACGTCCTTGATAGAGAAAGACATGACACTTTTCTCTGGGTAGAAGAATTAGTTGGGCCTTATACTAGAAAAATTACAATATTTGGCGTCTGACGTTCTGTATTCCGGTAGTTTATTCGTGGTTCTTTATATCGTTTACTAGACATGAAGGTCGAAAGTCGACTTGTCCATGTGCAGGACCATAACTTATCCTTGTACTGTTCTATTTCGTAGGCCATTGACTAAATTTGAGATATAAAACATCTATTTTTTTTTAATCCTCTTAGGCTGTGCTATTGATTGGTGAACAGGGCTCAGCTAAGACAGTTATGATGAAGGGTTACTGTAACAAATATGACCCAGAACAACAGCTCTTCAAATCACTCAATTTCTCCTCTGCAACGACACCCAATATGTTCCAGGTAAGATTTGTTTTGTGTTGTTGAGTGGCCATATATTACCAGCCATATAGTCATACGTCAGTATCACTGTAGAATTACTACGTAATGGATTTCTGAAAGTGACCATATCTGACAGCAACAAAACTGTTACTGCTTTTTCAATTTTATGTACAAGATGAATTTGAATTTTCACTTTGGTTCCCAGATCGGCTCAGTCCTTGGATCGCCTTTACGACAGGCGGTCAGCGCTGAATTACGACTCGGAGTTAATTTGGGATTGATTTCTCGTCAATTTTGGGGGTGTGTCTGGCGTAAAAATGTGTGTAAGGTTGTAGAACGAGGTTAATGTATTATTATCTCTAAAACACTATTCTTGGGTCAACTCAATCGTGTTTTGATCTGAGCTACCCGGTGTTTAACGAAAGAAAGGAATACATCTTCTTTTCCCGTCATCTTTGAATTATTTCTTGATTTTTGTTTAGCTACATTTATATTTCCCTGTAAAATAGAGCACTCGTTATCTGCATCGTAAACGTGCCCCAGTCAGGAACGTATTTTGCCAACGGTTTTTGTCTCTTGATTGACTTTAGCGAACTATCGAGAGCTACGTGGACAAACGAATGGGAACAACTTACGGCCCTCCAGCAGGAAAGAAAATGACAGTGTTTGTTGATGACATCAACATGCCAATCATTAACGAGTGGGGAGACCAGGTAACCTACTTTTACTCTCTTTTAGAATCAGGAGTGTTTGTCTAAAATGTAGGAAGGTGGTCTCCTGTCTCCTTAAAATCTTGCTGTTGAAAATCGTCATGTATAAAAATCAACGAGGGGTCATCTGTCTGTTTATCCATCACGGGATGCGAGGGGATGAGGATATAGATGCGGAATGAATTTATTTAATTATCAGTTCCATTTATGGACAATTCAGTGCAGATGGAACATAATTTTTGTCAATGTAAACAGGAACTTTAAGATTTAACCATTTCCTCTGTTACTGAGTTTTTATTAAGCTGAAACAATTGAATACCTTGTTATTTAGCGCTAGAAATCAGACAGCGACTAGTGCTTTCTGTTACCTCTTTATCTGCTTAATTCATGAGGTTTTGGCTGATCAAGTTTTACGATTTCAGATTACCAATGAAATCGTTCGACAAGTAATGGAGATGAAAGGTTTTTACAGTCTTGACAAACCCGGTGATTTCACCAGCATAGTTGACATTCAGTTCGTGGCAGCTATGATTCAACCAGGAGGAGGCCGCAATGACATTCCAAGCCGCCTTAAACGTCAGTTCACCATCTTGAACTGTACTCTGCCCGCAAATGCTTCGATCGACAAGATCTTCAGTTCCATTGGTAGTGGCTACTTTAACACCGAGCGGGGATTCCCTGCAGAGCTGCAGAAGATGGTTAATCCTTTGGTGTCAAGCACGAGGAAGCTTTGGCAGAAAACGAAGATCAAAATGCTTCCCACGCCAGCCAAGTTTCACTACATCTTCAATCTGCGAGATCTCAGTAGAATTTGGCAGGTATGAGTTAAACAAGTGAATTCTTGTTTTACGAGTTTCGCAGTTTTCCCATCACGTCCGTTGTGAAAATACGTGCGTCAGACTTGCAAACAATACAGGCGCCAGTAACACAATAAGTTAACGTACTTTTTGTTTAACCGCACTTTTTTGTTTGCCAAATGATTGGTTGAAAAGGGAACTTGAATCAAGCAGTCGTTCGTCGGTTCGTACCCCTGTTTTTAGGCCTGTGAGTCAATCAGCCACTCAATCAATTAACAATGCACTGAGGCATGGAAGCAATCAAGCAATCAAGAGTTATACCAGGCAATTAATCATTTAATTAATTAACTGACTTTTTTAATTGATTTTTTTTGAACAGGGCATGCTTACTGTGACATCTGAGGTAGCGACCACTCCCACAATTTTTCTTAACCTTTGGAAGCACGAGTGTAACAGAGTCATTGCCGACCGCTTCACGAATCAGCAGGATAAAGATTGGTTCGAAAAGGCCATCAAACAGGTTGTGGAAGAAGACTTTGACGCTGAGACTAGCGGCCTGTTGGAGGCAGAACCTTATTTTGTGGATTTCATGCGAGATGCCCCAGAACCAACAGGTAAGGAAATATCTGCAAGCAATCCCAGACAATTACTAACATCTCCAAAGTGTAAAACACTATTTAAGTCTTGGTTCCAGCAACAGTGACAACAAATTTTGGCCCGGTCTATACGACTTCCATCAGTACAACCACTTTTCCTTTGCAAAATAGTGGCTACATAATAAATAGGGACGACTTCTTAGCATTCTTAATGGCGCCCCAGGTGTGGGACTGTGGTGAGTGGGACTAACGTTTATCCACTTGCAATTTGTATTGGTAATCGCTTGTCAATGAATTTGATGTCAACTTTTTGTACTCAATTTCAACTTTCAGCACTGTTTGGGATAAATTGACGTGTTTTCGGCCAATGAGCATGCTGAAATTTTCGCATGTGATCCAAAGTTTTCCTACCAATCTCTCTTCTTTATTCTTCCTTTCTGAATTTTCCTTATGACCAGTTGGTTGTGTAAGTTGATCTAAAACCGTGTGATCTAGCTTCCTTGTAGATGGAGCAAGGAATAAGAACTGTGAGTTCGTATACTTCCAGGTGGAACCTGGCTAGAGTCTGCATTTACCTAACTTCCCATCAAACCCATTCCAGATAGAAAATGGGCCACCTCAAATGTTTTTCTATACTAAAAAGGATAGCTTACTGAATGGAAGGCTTCTGCTGATAGAAAGCGACAGTTTTTTAATTGACTTCCCTGCAATAATCGTTGCCCTGATGTCTTAGTTTACCTTTTCCTCTCCTGAACCTTAATTTTCTCAAACTTTTTACTCGATTTGCATGTATCTCTACAATGAAGTGTTCCTTATTTAAACTTTAATCTTTAGCTAGTGTTCTTTAACTCAAAGGCTCCCTTATTTCCCCTCTCTCTCAAGTCACTTTCAATACCAGGATTCTAATCTATTCTCTTGACTTGCTTGCAAGTTTCTTCATTTTCGTTGTTCTAGGCTTTGTCTCTTCAATCTTATCTGCTCTTCAGCTTTGATTGTAACAGATAACAAGAACAAAAAAGAAGGCAAAGCCGCGAAACCCAAAGGTCCGAAGAGTTCATCAACAGGTGGACCTTCTGTTGGGCCTAAGGGCTCAGGTATAACTGTTGCACTTATTTTTATCCCTCTTCTTTCTGTATTCCTCCCTCTGTTTTCTTTATTCCAGACGAGAACTGGAAACCGTTTCCAAGTCCATTTCTGAGGAATTCTTCGGTTTTTTCCAATCTCACCTATCCCTTGTAAAAGTTTCTCTTCCATTTTTGACGCACAGCTGTACCTTCTTAAAGCAAGTCAGGATTCTGTAGTGAATCTACCTATTCTTTATAGAGTAGTATTTCTTTCTCGATGGTCGTTCTTTTAAGTATTCTTTGGGAGAGCAACACTCAGTGCTCTTTACCAAATTATTCATTGAAGATTTCTCCTAAAATCTATTCAATCCGTTTGCAAATGCGCACTGAACTCACTTTAACCCTTTCCATTCTAACATCAGTATACATATTCTCTGTACAGTTCTCTAAATTCTAAGCTGCTGACAAGGAGAATTTGTTGAAAAATCAAGTGCTTGAGTTTGTGATCATTTCCTTTATTCTCATGACCTTAATGTTTGATTCAGGGATGATACTGTTGGAAGAAGTTAGAAGCTTATCACTCTTAACTTGGACTTGTTATTTCTACTCTTCTGCTTTTGTTGCGGAAATTTTTTGGCTCATCTTCTTTTTTCTTCCTCAAAACAAGATTGCTTGACTCCAGTTTTCTCTGTCCTCGAAACGATACAAATGAAATTCTTTACCCTGTATTGGTTACCTTTCAATTGACAGTTGGAATAAATTCTTAAATCTTCTAACTCTCTCATGTCTGCCATTTTTATCTTTTTGATTTACCGTTTACATGAAATTGGAAACAAGATTTGCTCTCGTCATCTTTCACCAGTCTGATCCAGGTTTTTCAGGTTGTCTCAGGTTTACCATAGAGTTTTTTATATTTTAGTGTGCTGGGATTCGCGAGTGAATTAAAAATAAAATTGAACCAAAGTAACGGTCTTTACAAAACAACGAAAAAATTACAAGTCAAAACGTACATATTGCCTCAAGCGTGAAAAACGTGAGCGACCATTCGCGCTAGTCTGGTATCTGACTAGTTAAGATGGTTGTGTGAATATCCTGGACCAATAAGAAAGTACTGAAGTAAACCCAATGCAACATTTACTTACTTTAATTACTCTCGACTCTCAATTGAATATTGTTCCTCTAAACCTGTTTAAACTGCTGAAGGTGACGAGCCAGAAGATGCAGACCTTGAAGCACCAAAAGTGTATGAACACATCGGGACATTGGAAACTCTCAAGGAGCGACTGGGAACATTCATGATCGGCTATAATGAAGTGGTTCGTGGAGGCAATATGGATCTTGTCTTCTTCAAGGTACAAAGCTCGGGTACTTGGATTTAACACAACGTAGCTGTTGTAGATGTGTACTATATTCAGCGGTATTTCGCCGACATCTTAGCTATGTCTCTTCATCGTTCCAGACCACATGTTGGCTGATTTTTAGAGAGTTATCGGCGCGTGTCAAAAGGAACAGTGCTAAATGTGTTGAGTAAAATAAGACGCAGTTTGAGAAAAAAACACACGAACCGTGCCCGCGTAAGAAAGTATATCTTTCAGGGTGAAATTTAATGACTTCTGATGATGCTTTCTTTTGTTGGGTAAATTTTGTTTATTGGGTGTTCCAGGCAGTGCAGCAAGCACTCTGAGTGTTCAATTTTCACTTAAGATTCTCATTATTTTCTTCAGGATGCTATGGTACACCTTATTAAGATTTCACGTATCATTCGCACCCCTCGTGGTAACGCCTTGTTGGTGGGTGTCGGAGGTTCAGGAAAACAAAGCTTGACGCGACTCGCTTCATTCATCGCTGGATACCAAATCTTTCAGATCACCTTGACAAGGTAATACACTTTCTCTTTCACTTGAAATAGCTCTCCTAATTGTGAATAATGATCGATTTTTTCAGTAGGACTGTGCTCAAATGGTGGATTGTTTTTAATGTGTATAACTCCAGAAAGGAAGACTCATTAAGCTTCTTGTCTCGTTTATTGTCAGTGCAACGAAACATTCCACAACCCCAACCAAATTTGTAGTAAAATATTTGTCGCTGATCAAGATTGAAGGAAATATCTCCGTTGTATCTAACGTTTCAACAAGCTAACAATCTACCCACAATTTCGGACATACGACAAGACGTCAAGCGTTTGTTTGCTGAAAACTCCTATATCTTTTGTAAGACTTTTCTTTTAACTCTACGAGTCGGTCTATAACTGGTTCTTCAGGCTATTGCTCCCACAGTAATGATATGATATTTACATCGTAAAATAGGGTTTGTCATCGTGGTAAGTAACACTTTCAAAATAGAAATATGATCGTTTGTCTCACGATGTGGACACCTTCGGATGTGGATCGCGACTCCTCATCGAAATGACCAGATCGTGAGACAAACGATTATATTTCTCTTTTGAAAGAGATATTTACAATTTTGAGATCTGAAGTTTTCTTGCCTTCCTCTGGATAGTGCGCACTAATGTACCCAAAACAAAGTAGGTTGTAAGTAATCTCTGTATAATTAAAGTCTTCTTTCTGTAGGTCCTACAATGTCTCAAACTTGATGGATGATCTCAAAGTACTGTACAGGACTGCTGGACATCAGGGAAAAGGAATTACTTTTATATTCACAGACAACGAAATAAAAGACGAAGGATTTTTGGAGTACATGAATAACGTGATAGCGTCAGGAGAGGTTCGTATTCCATCAAGAGATAGCATTGGGAAAACTTCGCTTTGAATTTCAGGGTGCCCCTCGACGAAACCATTTCAGTTGTGGATATTTGATGCACCGTCCGTTCCGAAACATGTTTAGCTCTCGCAAAATGTTGTTAAGACCGATTGTCAATAATAATGGAGCAAAATGTTCACTTAGCACTTCTCTGAGCCCCAACTTGTTTTCTTTTCGAAATTATTGTCTCTGTTAGAAACATTTACGTCAGTTTGTAACAAACACCCAAACTGGCGTTAAAAAAAAACTGACTGACGTCACAAACTGGCCAGTTTCGACACCTTAGGGTAGAATTAAAAGAAGGTATTAACAGTCTTCTTATTGTTAACCCAGGTATCTAACCTGTTTGCTCGAGACGAGATCGATGAGATCACTCAGGATCTTATCAGCGTAATGAAAGCTGAGTACCCGAGAAGACCGCCAACCAATGAAAATCTTTATGATTACTTCATCACTCGCGTCAAGAACAACCTACATGTTGTACTTTGCTTTTCACCGGTAAGGACATTGTCTGTTTTTGTCCGCTTGTTGGCTTCTTTTCTGACCGAGAATTAGGTGCTGATAAACTGGTCTTCTAACCAATTTAATCACTGGTTGTCCGACTGATTGACAGGTTGACCGACTGACTCAATGACTGCCTGACTAATCGACGTATAGACTTATCAATCGACTCTTTGACCGATTGAATGATCAACAAATCAACGGACTGATCGCCAAACTGACTGACTGACTGACCCACTAATAGACAGACTGGCTCATTGAATGACTGATGGACTAACTGACCAAGTGACTGTTTTTTTGGTTTCATTGGTTATTTCGGCTCTTAGCTTGGTACAAACGTTTTTCAAATGTAACTTTGGAATTTATTACCGCTTACCAATGTCAAAACACAAATACTTCTAGGTTGGAGAGAAGTTCCGTAATCGTTCACTGAAATTTCCTGGACTGTTTAGCGGTTGCACAATGGACTGGTTTAGCCGCTGGCCAAAAGACGCGTTGATCGCAGTGGCCTCGCACTTTCTGTCCTCGTTTGAAATTGTGTGCACTGCGGAAACAAAATTGGCTGTCGTCAACACAATGGGGGTTATACAGGTAAGCTGCGGCTGGAGAGATAGATGTGTAACTGCAGTTAAGATAAAAACATCTGGCGAATGGCTTTGGAATGAAAATTGATAAATGATGAATGTATGATAAAGATATATTTTAAAGCACACACACAATAATCATCATCATCATCATTTGTGCTCTCCTCTTGTGGTGGGCTCCCCTCTTTTGATTTTTGATTGGAGCTGGTCAATGAATCCTATTTACAACTACTCGTTTCAGTAGTGTTCTTAGCTGCGAGGATCTCTTAATTTCATCTTTCCACCGCAGTGCAAATATGTGAATTTTCATATATCCAAAATCTTTACTTCAGAACTTGTTTACATCACATTTTTCTTGTGGTATATTCAATGGATTTACATTAATTTGACCAGTGCAAGATGTGCTTCTTTATGTTGTAGGAATTATAGTTTCCAATTGGTTTTTTTTCCTCTGTTAAAACCAGGACAACGTAGCCGAGATGTGCGTTCAGTACTTTGAGCGATTCCGTCGGCAGACTCATGTGACTCCCAAGTCATATTTGTCTTTCTTGGGCGGCTACAAAGACATTTATAGCTCACAATACGAGGCGATTGGTCTTCTTGCGCAACGCATGAACACGGGATTGGCAAAACTTGTTGAAGCTAGCGAATCAGTGGCGAAGCTTTCGGAGGAGCTGGTTGTAAAGGAGAAGGAGCTGGCTGTAGCTTCAAAAAAAGCGGACGTTGTTCTTCAAGAGGTGACAGTCAGCGCCACAGCTGCAGAAAAAGTGAAGTCACAGGTGCAGAAGGTGAAAGACAAGGCTCAGGCTATCGTAGATGAAATCGCGGTGAGTTGAAATCGCTCTGTGATGCTATTGAGGGGTTTCGCTAGATTTTGCATCATTTCACTCTTCAGGGCACTTAACAGCGTATGGCAGGTCAAAGACTGTACGAGCATGCAGTCTCTGCTTTTGGAGAAATCTGTCGCGCAAATAAAAAACGTCAGTAGGAAAAAATGCGCGCCGTGTGGAACTCAGGGAGTGAAGCGCTTGAGTTTCCCGTGCAGCGCTGACGTAATTATTTTTTTAACTCGCGCAACGAATTTCTCCGAAAGGGGGGAATGCTTGTAGTTTAGGCAGGTTACGATATTTCAGGCCATTATAGCAACGAATCATGTCTTAGTTATTCGTGATATTTCTACTATTACCCCGTTCATCATCAGACATCCTCTCTTTCTCCCAACAGGGAGATAAAGCGGTTGCAGAGGGGAAGCTCGAGGCTGCTAAACCAGCCTTGGAGGAAGCTGAAGCTGCCTTGCAGACCATTAAGCCCGCTCACATCTCCACCGTCAGAAAACTGGCCAAGCCACCTCATCTGATTATGCGCATTATGGACTGTGTGCTACTGTTGTTTAACAGAAAAATTGACCCAGTGACGGCAGATCCAGAGAAGGCTTGCCTTAAGCCGTCTTGGGGAGAATCATTGAAGTTGATGAGTGGTGGAGGTTTCCTGAACACTTTGCTAACTTTCCCTAAGGTAGAGTTTGTAATCAGGGCCATAATGAATTAAGGTAATTTTGTATCATCACCTGAGTTGATAACGTAAATTGGCCACCGTAAAGAGTTCCAAAGCTGACGTTTCGAGCGTTAGCCCTTCGTCATTCGCTCTGACGAAGGGTTAACGCTCGAAACGTCAGCTTGAAACTCTTTACGGTGGCCAATTTACGTCATCAACTCAGGTGATAATACCAAATTACCTTGTTATAATCTCCCACCGACGTAGCGCCACAGTTTCTTTGGAAGCTTAACCCCTTTATTCAAGATTAACTACTCTAGTTGATAGTTATGGTGCAACTTTCAATTCAATGTCAAAGGCAACTCGAAAACACTGTGATTGGTCTAGAAAACATTCGCGTGAAATATTTGTAAGCAAGCCCAGGAATTCTAAACAACATTGTATACATGATTTTTTGTAACCCCATTTTTATTTATCCGTGATTTTTAACGCAAAAAGGGCAGGAAGGCGACATGGAATTTGTAAATATTCGACTCACTTGCTCCTCCAAATCTTCTTCCTTCTAAAATGTCTACCTTGTAAATGGTGGATATCTTTTGAGAGAAATTTTCAACTTCAGAGCTCGCTGATTTGCTTTCTCTTTGAAGTTTGCCGGCTCTCCACGGTTTCCTTTCCTAACTCTAATAACTACATTCACTTTCGTTCCGTTTTGCACCCGAGTTTCTTTTTCATTCTAAGGATTCCATCAATGAAGAAACAGTTGAGCTGTTGATGCCTTATCTTGAAATGGAGGATTACACCATTGAAGTGGCCAAGAAAGTTTGCGGTGATGTTGCAGGGCTTGCCTCTTGGACTAAAGCAATGGCTTTCTTCTATACCATTAACAAAGAAGTCCTTCCTCTAAAGGTGATGCTAACATCCCGTTGTTAAGTTAAAGTAGCTAGCTCTCTTTGATATATGCTATGGCTAGTAAAAAAAGGAGGTGAGATTATGTGACACAAAATGTTTGCTGTCAGATTTCAAATGTGAGAGGTCAATCTTGAAAACTGGCACCCATCGCCATAAAGATTTCATCTCTTGTTCTTAACATCAGCGAACTATGAATTTTTTTTTTGCTCGGCTACCGGGTGTAAATTGCACTAGGCGCGGTTAATGTTTCATTTTAAAGAATGTTTTTCCACGTGCCAATAAAAGAATTGAATTTAAAAATACATAATAAGAAGGTAAAATAAATTCTACAATTAAATCCCACTTTCCTACTCAACCTTATTTTGTTCTGATTTAACTCACACCGTGCAGATAGCTTGTTTTTTTTTTCTTCGCATTTTTCATTCTTATGTCCCCCGAGTGCTTTGTTAAGCAGACGAAAGCACTATGAAATTAATTGTACGCTTTGTGCGTGAAATCTGTAGGCGAATCTAATCATCCAAGAAGCGCGCTTGCAGAAAGCGACAGCGGAGTTGAATGAAGCGCAGGCGCAGCTGGATGAGAAACAGCGCGAACTGGATCTGGTGCAGGCCAAGTACGATCAGGCTATGCGTGATAAACAGACTCTGGTAGAAGATGCAGAGGCTTGCAGGAGGAAGATGGCCAATGCAACGGCACTGATCGATGGTTTGGGAGGCGAAAAAGTAAGATGGACTGAACAGAGCAAGAAATTCGACCAGCAGATTCAAAGGTGTGTTTCCACTGTATTTTTTTGTTTGGTTGTTGTTAAGTAACGTTGCCTTTTGAAAGTATCGTATTTCAGACTCGCTTTTTCCCGATGTTTTACAGTTTCCTCAGTTGGTTAGTTAATTTTTTCGTAAGGATTGACGATATGAGGTCATGTTTTAATTAATTATCAAAAAGACCATTTCCGTGGAGGGAAATCAATTGAAATAATGTTCCACGCCTTTCACGCGATGAAGACACTAAGGACCGTTTATTTATATGAAGTCTAACCTAAACCACGATTTTACGCAGTCAGTAGGCCTCAGGGTTTCTCTATAAGAGAGTTGATTTATGTCCCTCCACTGTTAGCTTTCGGCCCTCCTGACACTGTTCACAAGAATAAATGTTCAGATAAAATATTCAGCTAAATTGGGGATTGTTTAGGGCGCAGTTTTGTTGAACAACGGCTAATCTTTGCTTCAGTGATCAGACCTAAAGGTTTAAAAATCTTTCCCCCCTTCCCCTCCCCTCCTTGTTTAGTCTAGAAGGGTTGGTGGGAAGTCCTGCGAGAAGGAAAAGTTTCCAAAATTGTTGGAGGTGGTAGGGCAGGCGCGGTGTGGAGTATGTGTTGTATGGTGTTGGACTATTTTAACAACCAACAACAAAAGGAATATGGTGGAGTGTGGAGTAATGTACTTGGAATGGACAACATTTAAAAACATACAACAAATGAAACATCCCGAAAAATGCGTGTTTCAGAAACCGGGACAATTTACGGCTATCGTAACTCTCTTCTTACACTCTGGTGCTCTATCTCAGGTTGGTAGGAGATGTGCTGCTGGCCACCGGATTTTTGTCATATTCTGGTCCGTTTAACCAGGCTTTCAGAACTCTGTTGTTAGACAACTGGAAGAAAGAAATGAGAAAAAAGAAGATTCCTTTCTCAGAGGTAATAGTTTACTTCATGAGTTAGTTGGTGTATTTTAACAAACAGTCAGCAGAATGATTTTGGTGATTTTCTCTAAGCAAACATCGTAAAAGGTGTCCTTAATTCACGTAAATCAGTTGATTTACTCAATTTGTGTACATGTAAACTTTTGGAAAAATCTTCAAGGAAACGGCTCTGTTGTAATAGTAATAGGGCTGCTTCGAGGTGTTACTACTCTGTTTTGATTTTTTCGTGTTTGGTTTTTTTTTTATTATTTTTCAGTATAGTAGCTTTTTATATTTCTTTAAGATTGAAGTCATCGCCCTTGTCAGACCGTTGTGTTGCTTTTTAGACTGAGCTTTAAAGTGACTCTTTGGAAGGAAGGATAAATAGAATTACGAAAAACGAATAGGAACAGAATTGATTATATAGTTTTTCTTTTCCCTATGCAGGATTTGAATCTTGTGAACATGCTCACGGATGCTGCTACCATTGGCGAATGGGCCCTCCAAGGATTACCCAGTGATGAGTTGTCAGTCCAGAATGGTATAATAGTCACCAAGGCAGCTCGCTATCCACTTCTTATTGACCCCCAGGTGAGATACGGATGACAATAACCCGGGATGAAGGACGAAATATTTTCTTGACATCTACAGTTCGTGTTACCTGCCCTTACCATTAGTGGCCATTAGTAATGTCATTTGGAATACGTATATTGCTGTGGTGTTGCACACGTTCGGGAAACTTGATGGGCTAAACTTGGAGGAAAGAGTGCATAATTCATGTTTTGTTCAAGATTGAACAGTTCAAAGGCGAAATATGTGTTCTGAGGTGTTCAAATATTGTTCTACTTGAATGAACACGAGAGATCCCTTTCGGTAACAAACGATTAGCGTCCTTATCTGCCATGGCTAATAACTTTAGCCTGAAAACGCTATTGAATGGTATTTCTGTTATTCAGGGGCAAGGAAAGGCGTGGATTAGGAAGAAAGAAGGACCGAATGAACTACAGGCAAGTTGATAAAATTTCGCTCTTGTTCATTATCTTCTCTGTAATTTAGTGATACAGGGCACAGGCTTTAGTTGCTGTAGTAACCTACGAGGAAATGATGTTCCATCCACGAGGAATCCTAAAAAGCTACTGTTATTCCTCGGAAAAAACGACTAGCTTGGACTCTAGTGTGGACTCTAGCATCGAAAGAAATTTCAGAATTATCTTTCAGTGGAAACCTTTCTTTCTCTGATTTCTCGTTTGTCTTCCACTAGGCCACTGCCCTTAACCACAAATACTTCCGTACCCATTTGGAAGATTCGCTGTCCTTGGGAAGACCACTGATCATAGAGGATGTTGGCGAGGAACTTGATCCGGCACTCGATAACGTACTGGAGAAAAACTTTATCAAGTCTGGCAAAACGTTTAAGGTAAAGAAATACCTATTGTTTTGATAGTTGTCACTAACTTGCTGTTATCTTTCTTCTTTATTGTTTGAAAAACTCTCACCTAAATACACAACTCCAAGATAGCCTTACTCTTGGTTCCCTTTGTTGTGGTATGTCGTAAAAATGAAGCGCCATTTACCACCATAGAGCAATACAAAAGTAAGTCCACCGGACAAATTTCCGGACAATTTTAACGGCTCTCAATTCCTTTTGAGGTATCCTAAAAACCAGCCTGAAAAACTCTTCAACAGTTACATCGTCACTATTACGTCTTGTAAAAGTTTCGCGTTTGTGAACTTTCCAACTGATTTTTTTTTTGATTTAGAGAGATTTTGGCGAAATCAGCTAGGCGTGGTCATCATCTGGGGAAGAACTTCTATTTAGAAATTTTTAAGATTTGATTAGATCAGCTGAGTTTTTTCTCTTTAGTATGGGTGTCTTACTCAACGTACTTCTGTACTTTCCAGGTCAAAGTGGGAGACAAAGAAGTGGATGTAATGGATGGTTTCCGTTTGTACGTCACTACCAAGCTTGGTAACCCCTCCTACACTCCTGAAGTTAGTGCCAAGACCTCCATCATCGACTTCACGGTTACCATGAGTGGCCTGGAAGATCAGCTGCTCGGTAGAGTGATATTAACAGAAAAGCAGGTGAAGTGTCCCTCTGCCGTGAATTAATGGATTATTTGTCTTCAAATGGATTATTTGTCTTTTAAATCCTCGTGAAACGAACGCCATATTGAATTGTAAGAGCAAGAGTAGGGAAAAGGGAGTAAAGAAAAGGCGATTTTAATAAGCAGAAAGATTTTCTTCTTTTGTTGTCTTTGAGGTATTTTTCCTAACTAGCTACCCAGATTAAAAAAAAAAAAACAATAGGTCTAAGTTTTGGCGTTTAGAAATCGCGATGAGTCTTCAAAATAAATCAATAAATCATTATTGTTCATGTAGGAACTGGAAGCTGAACGTACCAAGCTGATGGAAGAAGTGACCGCTAACAAACGAAAAATGAAGGATCTGGAAGACAATCTACTTTACCGACTCACTAGTACTCAGGGCTCTCTTGTGGAAGACGAGTCTCTGATCCAGGTTCTAAGTGTGACAAAAACTACTTCAGAGGAAGTCAGTGAAAAGTTGCTGGTTGCAGCGGAAACAGAGGTGAAGATCAACACTGCTCGTGAAGAGTACAGGCCAGGTGAGCGGCTACAAGAAACAATAAACAATAAACGAGTCCAGCCGATCATTCGTTAAGTAAATGGGGAATGTAGGCGAAGAACAAGAGAAATTTCTCAAGAGAAAATTTTGGGGAAAGAAATGCCGGTTTATCCGAAGAAAAAAATCAGGAAAACATGATACCAAGACCCTCAGAAGTATTTCTCTACATGGAGAAAAGTACAATTATATTTTTCAATATATATGTAGCTGATTGGAAAATATGATCGAAACAAATTAGAGCAACTGTAGAATTCCATATTCGCCCCAAGATGATAATCTGGGCTTCCTAATTGTTCAACAGTTGTGCTGTGTTCATAAGGTTAACACTATGTTGCATATTATACTGCTTCTGTGCAGATTAGTTACGCCCTCTCTCTGCTGTTTTATTTGGTCAGTAAAACTACCAGGCGCTCAACACATTGAATGTCGCGGGACAAGTTCTGTCATGTCCCATAAAAGAGCACGACAACAAAAAAAATTACAAAAATAAGAATATCACCTTCTCCTGCCTTGATAAATGATAGGCGACAACTGTTTTCTCTCCTTCTCCTCCCTAGTGGCCACACGAGGTAGCATCCTTTACTTCCTGATAGTCGAGATGTCCTACGTGAACGTTATGTACCAGACTTCTCTCAGACAGTTCCTGGGCTTGTTTGACATTTCCATGGCACGCTCTCAGAAGTCTCCGATTCCCGCCAAGCGGATCCAGAACATCATTGAGTACTTGACATTTGAAGTGTTCCGTTACACGACGCGTGGTTTGTACGAAGAGCATAAGTTCCTCTTCACTTTGCTGCTCACGCTGAAAATTGATTTGCAAGAGAGAAAGATTCGCCACGACGAGTTTCAGGTTCTTATCAAAGGTATGACGATTAAATTATATGGTACTCCCTGATTGATTAGTGTTCATCCATTTTCATTTTCATTCTCTGGTTGGTTTTTTTCCTTGTTGGTATTCGACAGCGGTATTTCGACTGTGCTAAATTGAAATTAATAGTTGTAAGTTGACAAAGTTGAACAGGCTATGGGAACGAAGGGAGGGTATGTTAATTTCTAATTTTAAAAGTCTTGGAATTCATTGAAGTTTTAATTCAATGGTTTTTATGCTCCACTTTGCCAATTCGTCAATCTGAATACTTGATTCTCTTGTACGGCAGGTGGTGCTGCATTGGATCTGAACGCTGTGGAACCCAAACCAAAGAAGTGGATCTTGGACATGACTTGGCTGAATCTTGTGGCCCTCAGTAAACTTCCTCAGTTTACTCAGCTCCTGGGACAGGTTATTACCTATATTAGTTGATGTTTTTGTTATGGCTGGTGTCGTGATTGTGGTTGTTGTGTTCCCTTTGTTTTGCGATCTCTTCGGCGACTTTGATGTAGCTTGCATTTTTGCTTTCGTGACCATCGTCATAGAGCAAGAAGTTGGTGAAAACTGTACAAATTTTGTAAGATACCCTGAAACGTATTGGCAAATTGAAAGCCTAAAATTAAAATATTGTTAGAGTGTTAGATAATGTATCCTCTCGTAGAAATCTATGATTATATTCAATTCAGATGGAGGCTAACCCTTTGAAAATGCGCTTCAATTTTTTTTTCTTTTCTCTGGCTATAATGAACTCACAACTGGACTATAAATGTGAACGTATCTCCACAGGTTGCGAATAACGAGTCTGGTAAAGCCTGGAAGACCTGGTTTGACTCTGAAGCACCAGAAGATGCACCAATACCAGATGGCTACCAGGGCTCTCTCGACACATTTAGGAAACTTCTTCTTATAAGGGCCTGGTGCCCAGATCGTACCATAAACCAGGCTCGGCGTTATATCACTGATGCTATCGGGAAAGAGGTGAATACTTTGCTAAGTAGTTATCATTTTATTTGTTTCACACTGGGGAAATGATTCTCACATAAGAAACTTCGAACTTCGTTTCTGGATTCCGAAGAAACATGCTGCTCGGGAATTTTATGCAGATGGTCACACCTATGGTCATTTGTTCGTAGTTTTAAAATAAGTGGGGCATTGTGAAAGATACCAAACGTATTCACGGCTGGGATATGGGTTTTTCTTACGGGACATAGCTACGATATATCCTTTAAGCATATTACTTGGTATTTTATATCATGTGTTACCCAGAATTCCAAGAGAGGTGTTGGGTGTGCTCAGAGTTAAACATGCTTCTCTTGTTCTCACAGTACGCTGAAGGAGTTATTCTGAACCTGGAAGTCATGTGGGAAGAGAGTGACATTAGGACACCAATGATTTGCTTCCTGTCAATGGGTTCTGATCCTACAGCATCCATCGAGGCTTTGGCTAAGAAACAGAGATTAGGTAAGAACATTAATGTTCCTCCTCACCAAATGATCCATTGTAAGGATTGTGAATGATCGCTAGCTTAAAGATTTACTCCAAGTTTACGTGTAGATCTTAAGGCAACGTTTCCTAAATGCGTTGTATTGTTTTTTGTCCAGCGAATTCGATTGTAAAGCTTTATTTTGAGACAAATCTTCTAGAAAATTCGAAGTCGACAAATTTAGCCAGAAAAAGAATACAGCACTATCATCTTTGAGCTCAGGATTGTATCGAAAGCGCAACCGCCCCGTTGAAAAGACGAAATCCTCGTTATTGATTGTTTAGAAGATATTGCTTTGTAATTCTTGGACTTAAGTGAAGTGTTCGTCTGCCAAAGATAGTTAAACGGTAAAAATTTGATTGTTTCTCGCACAGACTGCCGGGCCATCTCCATGGGACAGGGACAAGAGGTACATGCACGGCGTCTATTGGCACAGTTTATGAACGAGGGAGGCTGGGTGCTATTGCAGAATTGTCATTTGGGACTCAACTTCATGGATGAGTTGTTGGAGACGGTATGTTTCGACGCGTTTTTATGTGTGTTTCTATTGGTTTGTTTTAAGTTCTTGATTAAAGTTTTTTATTTTCCGTAGTATCTTAGTGTTGGCATTATTGACCAAGGACTTGTTTAAGGAATTAAATTTTCAGCATGAAATGAGATAAATTATATTTTGTCATATTTTGGATTAAATTTTGATTATTTGTTTTTTAGATCACCACAACAGAGAATGTCAACGAAAAGTTCCGTCTGTGGATCACGACAGAAGTTCATCCGAAATTCCCGATCACTCTTCTCCAGTCCTCTATCAAGTTTACTAATGAACCACCGCAAGGCATCAAGGCTGGTCTGAAGAGAACATACGCTGGAATCTCACAGGTTTGAGAGGGAATTGAACGGGTTGCCAAATTGCATATTAAAGCCTTAGCCTCTATGATAAATTTTCAAATTACAAAGGAAAAGGGTGCGAATTTAATTAAAAAAATTCTTGAAACGCTTGAAACGGTAGCGATTATGAAATTTAAGTGCGCTGACGAAACAAATTATACGAACAATGACCTTTGTTTCTGCTCTTTTAATTCACAAAATTATGGAAGAAATGGAATGATGTAAGAAAAAGTAATAGATCAATTGATTCAAGTTTACAAATTTCAAGTGGAGAGAGCACTGCTACATTGAAAAGTCTAAATGACTGTCTTGTCAATTAGCTTTTATGAACCTTAAGGTTACAAGCAGTCGGCTGTTTCACTTAAGATGTCGACGACGAAGCGAGACTTTTATTCTAATAATCACCTATTTTCATCTATTTTTCCGTGGTAGAAAAACTCTCTCAAATTCTTTGATACACGTCTTGAAACGAGACTTGTTATAAGTTTTTCGTTACTAAATCTACTAACTTTACTCTACCGTAGGATCAACTTGATGTAACTAACATGCCACAATGGAAACCAATGCTGTATGCAACAGCCTTCCTGCACACCATTGTTCAAGAGCGACGCAAATTTGGTCCATTAGGATGGAATATCCCTTATGAGTTCAACTCTGCTGATTTGACGGCCTCTGTGCAGTTCATTCAAAATCATCTTGATGATATTGATCCAAAGGCGGTAAGAATATAGTTTTCAATCATTTGCAGTATACTCTTTTTTCCTTCATTGTCTTGAAAGCAATATTTTTTTTCCTCCCTCTTTATTTTAAAGCTATTGGTAATATTGTCGTAAGCTCCTCGGCCCAAACTATGTTACCTGTAGACTTAGGGGTTTTTATGACTTTTACATTTGAAGCGGCTGCCGATGGTGTAATAGGCATCTGCCCGCAAGGCGAAAACCACTGAACACGAGAGCCTGTTCGGTGCAACAGACGATAGTGAGAGGTCCTGTAGGCGGCGGTAAACCGATGGTTACGGGCTTTTATTGAAATACCAGAGATTCGAAAAAATGTTCAGGCAATTTCTTTGAGTAATAATCATGCCCTCCAAATTTACTCCCACTTGACGTCTTCATTTCTCGTCCTTTTCTTGTTAAATGTCATTTATTGCAGATCTACTTGTTTGATTTTCAGAATAGTTTTTTTTTTCTACCTCTCACTCAATGCTATTACAACGAAGGGTATATCTTTACTAACTGAAAATTAAATATTTAGTTGTTCATTGTTTAGTTTCTTTCACATGTTTTTTGTCTTTTTTTTTTATCTCCTTCGTTGCAGATCTCATTAATTTCAATTGGCTATTTTAGTCCATAAGTAACATCAACTGTTCACTGATTTTAGTTAAACATTATTTTTCTGTATCAGTCGATCTGCGTGTCAACCTCTTGAATCCAACCGTTTTTCTCCTTTCCCTCTTCCCCCAGGGTGTTTCGTGGGTGACTGTTCATTATATGCTGGGTGAAGTTCAGTATGGCGGTCGTGTCACAGACGATTTTGACAAACGTCTGCTGAACACCTACGCTCGTGTTTGGTTCAGTCAGGAGATGTTTAAAGAAACCTTCAAGTTCTACCAAGGCTACAACATTCCTCGCTGCGCACAGATTGCAGATTTTAAGGCTCACATTGATGAGATGCCGTTGTCGGACACTCCAGAGGTAATTGATGTTTACTGCAATAGAGTGCTTTTCGATACGGCACAAAAGTTTCCATAGGAACAAATAGGTTTGGTTATTTGATGTTTATGGGTATGAATTATCTATGAATTAGCCACGCTAACGAACAGGCAACTCAGAGCGAATATTTAAAACCAGTTTAATGGAAATAAAAATTTTAGTATTCCAAAAAAAATTTAAAAGGAGCTACTATAAACTTTTAAAAATCAATAATTATACAAGGCCCTCTTATTTGGAGGGAATAAGAGACAAGACTCCCCCGCCCATAACAAGTCCTCTTGTTTTTAAAAAGTGGTCCATTATTTGCAAAACGAGTGTAAATAAACGAGTGACGCGAATCACAGCAATTTCCAACCAGAGTTTCCGAATTACCAGTTTGAATTCTTAGCAGCCTTAGTCATTGTAAACAAAGAAGAAAACTTGCCAATGCTTGAAAATAATTTTTGTCGGCCTTGATTACTCCATTAGAATACTTTAATAACATTAGAAGTCCTCTTCATGTAGGTGTTCGGTCTTCACACAAATGCTGACATCACATATCAAACCAAGACCACCTCGGATGTTTTGGAGACCATTGTGAACATTCAGCCCAAGGACAGTTCTGGGGGGTCTGGGGAGACACGTGAATCACTTGTGGCGCGTCAAGCTACAGAAATGTTGGACAAGTTGCCTTCGGATTATGTTCCTTTTGAGGTAAAACTTGTAGTGTCATTTCACTCTCGTACTTTCAGCATGATCAGCAAACCCGCTCTATATCATTATATCAATGTTGAGACTTTATGTTTTTCTTTTGTACCCATTGTACAAGTCAGTGAAACGGAGTAGCAGGGGTTTTAATAACTTTTCCATAAGCGGCTGCGGATGACGTAATAGGTGGCTATGCTATTAGGCGAAACCCAAATACGAGGGTCTGCTCGCAGGCTCAACCGACGGCGGTGAGAGTTCTTATAGGCTTGGATGATAATTTAACTAGGGAGTCACTTAAATCTCGCCTAGTCATTAAAATATTCTAATCAATAGGTATAATTTTAAGATTTAGTCTCAACACTTTCTCTTCGCGTACTACATACCAAAATTATGCTTCCATGTCTTAATTATTGTAATTTAGTTTGGAAATATTACAAATATTGTGATATCTTTTGTTTAAATTTATTCGCTTTTTTTCTTTCGAGGGAAGCCAAGTTTACAAGCCTTATTTTTTTTCCATTAAAGGCAAATTGAGACGAAAAGTAAATAAATGTCCATCAAATTTCAATGCACTGAAAGTGTAAGGAGACGTTACTCTTTGATCATGTTCGAGAGTATGTGAGTCAAAATCATGCAAGCTAAGAGTACAGATTGCTGACTGAATGTAATTTTCTCAAATGCCTCATTAATAATAATAATAATACATTTGTCTATTAAATTACTACAGGTTAAAGCACGCCTGCAGAAAATGGGTGCTTTGACGTCCATGAACATATTCCTCCGTCAAGAGATTGACAGAATGCAGAGGGTCATAACAGCTGTGAGGAACACACTTGTTGACCTTAAGCTGGCCATAGATGGTACGATCATTATGAGTGAAAACTTGAAGGATGCTTTGGACAACATCTATGATGCCCGTGTCCCTGCTCTTTGGAAAAAGGTATTTTTTTCTTTTTACTCTTCAGCTTTGTTTGATTTGGAAGATGGATGATGTTTGGTTGTTTTGTTTTGTATTTATGTTTGTTTGTCTTGTTTCGATTTGATCTATTTTAAAATTTTGGAGTTTTTAAGTCTGGGAGCCTTAGTTCCAAAAACACTCACTTTCAGAAAGAGGCTGGGGGAAAAACCTTTAATGTGAAAAATTAATTCGTTTATTAAAAGACAATTTTCTCATGTAAACCTTTACACTCACCTTCGTTTAAGGCAGAGGCATTAAACACCTCAAAAATGGCTTATTACCTAAATTGGGTTTGTTTTAGACATTATCAACTGAGTAACAGACGGGTTTTTCCATTCTCCTCCGCTGTTTTCACGATATATTCGGATATTTTAAGGAGAAGTTACGTTGGGTTGAAATGCCTTTCTTTCCTTATTGAAGATCTCGTGGGACTCGACGACTCTTGGATTTTGGTTTACTGAGCTGATCGAGCGCAACAATCAGTTCCATTCCTGGTTATTTGAAGGCAGACCTAGTGCGTTTTGGATGACGGGATTTTTCAACCCTCAGGTATGAAGCCAGCTGTTTGTTTGATGTTTGGTTGGCTTACTTGCTCGCTAAGAGTTCACATGAATAAAAGTCTTCCAGGAAAATTGTTCAAAATGACTTTGAAAGATTCTAAAGATACACTAAGAAACGTGGTAAACATGGGAATGGTTTTACTCTATCTTTGTGTTTGCTCGGGGAATTCCTTTAGGATCATATGCTCGTGAACTTGAATACTTGAAACGAACTTCACACTGTATTATTTTTAGAGATTATACGGCTGCCAATCCAAGTTTAAAAGAGATTGAAAATTTCAGAATACGAGAAAATTTAGATTGTCTATTGATTCTAATGATGAACAACACTGTTCTTTCACAGCCAATATTCACTTCGCTTTGTTTACAATTAGGGTTTCCTGACCGCAATGAGACAAGAGATCACGCGTGCGCATAAAGGCTGGGCCCTCGATAACGTTGCACTTGCCAATGACGTCACTAAGATGATGAAAGAAGATGTGTCGTCATCGCCAGCGGAAGGAGTCTATGTGCATGGCCTGTTCCTGGATGGCGCTGGGTGGGATCGACGAAACTGCAGGCTCACGGAGCCTTACCCTAAAGTTTTGTTTACTGCCCTCCCTGTGGTGCACATTTATGCGGTTAATACTGCCGCCTTGATTAAGGACCTCAAAAATAACCCAGACGCACTGAAATTTTATGAGTGTCCTGTGTACAAGAAGCCCAGACGTACTGACTTGACTTACATTTTCTGCTTGAACCTGAAGACTTCACAGCATCCTGATCACTGGATTCTTCGAGGTGTTGCTTTGCTGTGTGACACCAAGTAATGTTGCGTGACATTTATCTGCGCTCTAAACGTAACCTGGACGTTGCGTTACACACCGTTCGTGCTTTTTTTCTTTTGGGGGGGGGGGGGGTAAAACTTTGTAAAACTCAACCAGAGGGAATGGCACATGTTTTAAGTGTTGTTTCTGCCTTTTTAAGTTCGGATTGTTTTTTTAAAGTTAAGTTTGGATTGCCTTTAAAGTTTTGGCATGATCAGTGAGAAAAAGTTTGTTTAAGTCTATTTTTGGTGTTACAATGTAGAGATCGGTTCTATTTTTTGATACATACTCAAAGTGTGATAAAGTAATGAATTAGTCGTGTGCGTTCTACGACAGTTGTACGCATTAGATGCTTTTATTGTTCTATGTAAGGAAGAGTGGATTTATTTATATTTATTCAAAAGAAGTGTGAATGGCAATAAAGTTAAGTGAGTAATCTTACATGCTTTTTGTTTTTGTTTGTAAGTTAGCTGGAAAAGCTGAGGTGTAATGCGGTGAAAGAGTTTTCTTTAATTTTTTTTTTTCGCTGAGGCTGTTTTTTATGAACTCTAAGTTCATTACAGAGTTTTAAAACTGACTTGTTCCTGTTACTGGCATCCTTGAGTTCAATTTGTTCTGTGAATGATGGCCTCTCTCATAATCGAATCACGTGCAACATAGCACTTGAAAGACTGTTCTGTCGCAATAAATTTTTCCTCCCTTTCTGAAGTGGATTTACTGATCATCCAGCTAGACGGTTCTGGTCAATAAAGGAACCCTTTCATGAGTGGTCATAGCTTTGCCAGTGAGCCTATCATTTTCGTCATGGAAACTACAACACTGCTTCCTAAAGCCAAAATCCTCTCTGCAAGAGAGTTCACATTATTAGTCGTTTGTGACAAAGTAACAGTGCAGCCTTTCCTTACCTCGGCACGTTTTAAGTAAAACTCGGGCCAGTATGAACGGAAAAAAAGAAATATGTTCCAAAAAACTGCCAGCAGATCCAATTAGACGTCAGTTAGCTTCTACTAAACTGTAGGATTGGTTAATTCAAGTGTGGAGTGTCTCTGTGGTTTTGGTTAGAACATCACTGAATATGGCTACGTGAACGATGTTCAAAGGGAAGGAAAGGGAAAATAAGAGAAAGAAGGAGTTTACTTTTCTATGTGTGTCTGCATATCATCCACAGTAGCACGTGAAATAAAACGGCGATGAAAACGGAGGCTTTCGAAAATGGCCTCAATATGGAGTATTTTGAAAACGCATCGTTTTTGGAACGCTCCGTTCCTTGTGCTAACGAGTTGAGTTAACGGAGGCTTTTAGCAACGACGACGAAGAGAGGATCATAAGTCACTTAACCTTGCATTGTCTTTTTGGTGATGTGAGGGTCAGGCGCACTTGGCTAACAAAATTTGTTTTGCTTTTTGTTAGATACAAAACTACCGGGCGCATTTTTCTCACTGAAGTGATGACAGATTTCCTGGCAAAATTAACAAAAATTCGACCAGTGCGCCCGGCTTCAAATGAGTAGAGAACTGAATTCGGAAAAACATAACAGCACCCACCCTACCCTGATTGAATTCTTTCCGTGACTTGTCATGGCAAACATCTTTCAGATTAGATGATGAGGTAAATTGGCAATCGGTTATAGTTTCTAAAGCTGACGTAATTTCTGATTAGTTACTTAAACTGCCAGCCATTTCCTAAGAAGGCGGTTAAAAATCGTGCGTCATAATGACTGTACATGGTTGAACCACTCAGTTGTGCACGAAAATTTCCTGCTTCCAAACGCAAGCCAAGAAACTGCCAAGGACGAAAATCAACCTCACAGTACATTTTTTTAAGGAAAAGATAGCATACAGAACTTTACGTGACAAGGTGTGAAAACAACAGGTAGACGCCCTACGTCACTGGATAGCAGGTAAGTGTGAATTTTTGTTACGTAACAACGAGGCACATGCTCTCATGGAGGTTGGGGCACCTGTGGTATAACTGCTATTGGAACCTTCCGTGTCAGAAAGTTAGACAACTTTAAATACCACAGGTAGCCCTGACTCAAGTGAAACTTTTTGTTGTTGTTGCGTAACATTCAGTTCAAGAAAGTGCGAGTAGTTGTTACGCAACATTAAATGTACTTTGGAACAACGAACTCGTTTAAGACGGTCGAACGCAAAAAAAAAGAAAGAGCTCAGATGAAGGGCTAACGCTCGAAACTTCAGCTTTTAAACTCTTCACGGTGGCCAATTTACATGATCAGATCATTTGATAATGCTAAATTACCCTGTTACACTCTCCCACAGTTTCGTTAGAAACTTGCCCCCTTTATTATTAATGTTACGTAACAATCATTTGTATTTATTGATAGACGGTTCCAAACGGTGTTCACAGATATAAATTGGATGCCGCGCACTCATTTTGATGATTTCTGACAGTTAACCGTTACGACGTGATATCAAGCTTGAGAGACGACTCTGGGTTCGATCGCTTAGAAGAGAATATGATGGCTGACTTGTGCGCTACTGGAATACACGCTCATCGTGATGAAAGCAAGCCCGAATTTTTTAAGGCTGGAAAACGACACCGAAAAAATGGAATATTCGCACACAACACTCACGCTCAAGAAGACGAAGTTGGAGAGAATCTGTCGAGTTACTGTGGTGGAACCCTCCCTCAGCACCAAAAGTTGGCTCCAGGATGGTACAATCTGTCCAAAGAGGAAATGGCCTTATTAGAAATCGACATTTTCAAACCGTTGGATTTTATGGATATTTTATTGAAGAAAATCAATGAAGACGACAACGGAAGGGTGATATCCAATATGAACGAACTGTGGAAGAAGGAAGTCAGCGAGCCTATAAATTAACTTAAAAATGTATTTCATTCTTTTCCAACTTCTGTTATGTTACAGTACCCCTATTCAATTTCCAGTAAAAAATTTTATTTCAGAGAGTTTGTTTTTCTACTTTTTTCTTTTTATTACAGAAGATTATCAGTTAGTTAAGCTCTACTTTTTGTCAACGAGAGATTCGATTCTTTATCAAATGTAGTACGCTTGTCGGATACGAACATGGCTCTTAGACCACTTTTATCCAACGACTTTCCTAGTTTCCTTGCAACTGACTGAGGTTAAGCATCGGAGTGCGAGGTTCAGAGGTCATTGTTCGACTCATGATAGGGAATTAAGATTTTATTTCTGTTTTATTAGATTCAAAATGAAACGAATTATTTTTTTTCGTTAATTAGCCTGGTTTTCCCCCCTGTTTCAGGAAATGACGCCCTCGCAATTTCAAGAAACAACAATTTCAAAATTGCGTAAAGCATTTGCATGAGGCATATTTAATCAATAATTTTTATTTTGTCTTGTGATTGCTCTTTCGGCAAAGGTTGAAAATATTACCAAGTCATATTTACTTTCTGCGTCTATATCTGTCTCTTTGCTCCTGGAATTTTCTACTTGTATTACATCTTGTTTTCATGTTACATTACATGTTTGTTTTCCGACATAATTACGTGTTTCTTTGTCACTATGGAGAAGAGTTTCTCAGATGAAATGCCATTTTCCAGTAAACAAACTATATTTTACGACATAATCCTGTCCCGCTGAAAAAATTTCACATGAAACTAGATGCTACCGTTTGTCAAACTGCCACGTAATTCTCACGTGCCCAAACGTTTCCATCACGTGTCTTTCCTTGTAATCAACCTGCATGCATGTTATCAAGTATTCCGAACGAAACGGAACAAAGCTGAGACAGGCAACAACCAAATAAGGAGCCCACGTTGTTAGGTCCATGTAAAAGCCTTTGAAATATGAACAGAGAGCGCACAGTATCTTTATTCAGAGGCTATTGTAGATAAAAAGAAAGAGTCTCGGTTTGCTTTCCAAAGCAAAATCTTGTAGAAGAATGTTTTTTTGGCAAAGAGCTGTAACCGGATAATTTTGAATTTGTTTCTGATAGAGGGAACGGCATTCAGCATTGTCTTAGCCTGGCAGCAAGGCATATAATTTTTTCTTACAATTATTCAGACACCAGTAGTAATAGACCATAAAATACCTGTGCCTCAGTTTATTGAACGATATTTTTCATTGGAATCTTTTGAAAGTAAATGCTCTTTTCCTTTCATAAAAATGCAATCGTCAATTACTTAGTCTCCCGTCTCAACCCACCCATCCATAAAAAAAATTACTCTTGCTTGCATTGCATGCCAATTTTTTCATCATTGATTGTAAAATTAATTCAGAACAGAAGAGTTTTAGAAAATTTAATAAACTACTGTACTGTACTGTACTGTACTACTTCTAAATATGATTTTTGATTCTGGGCCTTTCACTGTACATTACATAACACGACTAAATTGCTAAGTAACGCAGAAGAGAGAATCTAAAATTCCCAAATCGCTAAAACTATGTAGTTGTGATATATTCGCTTCCCTTTCGTGTTCGTTTCATGAACTTTTTATGATCTCTGAAGATCGAGTGATCACCAGTTTGTTTCAGTTCCAACTCTAGGTTGTCTTCATTCTCAATAACGAACTTAATTTCGATCGGCTACTATAAACCCCACCTAGTCGCCGATTTCTTTTTTACTGCAGTTTCTTGAGAGTCGATTTATCTGTGAATATGACAATTCCGGCAAGAGAAGGATAGATTTCGTCCGTAATATAACCGCAACATGAATTTGCTTGAGCAACCATTTGGAATAATTGTTTACCCATGTCAAGCTACGTGACCACAGAGCTAAAAGGTATATTCGGGTTTTATAAGAAATTTGTAAAAGCTTTTTTTCTTACCGCGCCAAGCGCCAGAATATTTGATATGATTCAAAGATATCAGAGCGCCACGGTTCCTCGCGCCGAATGAGGCCTTTCCCATTTTTCGATGAGTTACGTTGTAAACTAACAACTCTTGGAGCGAATATTTAGGCCAGTTGTATCGAAAAATTGAATTTATCAATAGTAATGACATTGATAAATTCAATTTGATATAATAATTATTATTGTTAGAAATGGCAATGACGATGGTTGTGATGAAAAAAAAACTAACACTATTTACGAAGTGTGAATATAAACATATTTATATATATATATAACATCGGGAAGATTATTCAAGAATTACTTCATGTTTTAACAACTAAAATGGTCTCTTCAAAGGTCAACCGCTAACTCCTGTTTTCTGCAATAGCGCTCCAATTTAACAACCGACAGAACGCTTCGATGCTTTCATATGTGGTACGGTTCACTTCGCACCCAATCAGTGCAATCGCCTGTCGTTTGTTCTTGTTTAGAACATGACCAGCTCCTGAGTTCTGCCACCGCTCTCGCTGGTAATAATTCCAATCGCTCTCCTATTTCGCCTCAGAATGACATTCCTCATTGCATCCCTAAGACTTTGGTTTCTTAATGTGTAAATCAGGGGATTCAAAGCAGAGTTTGAAAACACCATTGCTATGGACCAAGGCTGCAAAAAAGAGTAAACTCTTGGGAAAGGAACCTGTGTCGACTTGATCAAAATTGCCGGTACCAGACACAGCAGGAGAACCATAGTAATAACAAACATATCAATGGCAGTCTTCTTCTCCCTTCGTAACACAGTTGTCAGCCTCACTGACGCAACCAATCGTCTGAGCTCCTTATTATGGCGGCGGATTGCTAGGTACATTCTTATGTGGTTTACAGTAGGGATGATTATGAATATGGCTATCAATGTCATGGAAAATACTAATTCCAGTATCGAGGATAGGAGTAATTGAGCTAAGATTGTTAGCAAAAACCAACTTACTCCAATAAAAGACATCGTCTTTACTGTCCCTAAGAGAATTAAGAACATCTATGTATCAGATAACTCGTGTGAGGTCTCTATCACATGGGCATGAAGTGTCACTTGATAATTGTACGAGTTAAGAAAAGAAAATTGCTTGCTTCACACTTACGGAAGAAAACTTGTCAAGTACACTTTTCAAGGAAACTTACTGCTGAAGAATTTCCCTTTAAGCTCATCCTTTTCATTTACATCTGTAAATTTCTTCTTCCTGGAGTTTTGCATCAATAATCTGACGAGTCCGCTTCTTATTCAAATACTAGCGAGTCAGTTTTTAGGGAAATTGTTTTATTTGAGTCTCCTAAAAGTTTTTCAGTGGAAGTTAAATCATTAGCAAAGTTTTCTACTGTAAGTCAGCTTGGATATTTTACAACCTACATTCTGAGACCTTCTGAACGTGCTGATGCTTAAGTTATAAGTACGGGGAAAAAGGAATGAAATACCTTCGACAGTTACACGCAGACGGTAGGAAATTGGTCTTGACAATGCATTGAGGCGATCAAAGCTGACGAAAGTTAAAATGGCAAACGACCATCCAGATGTTAACATGATAGACGCATAGAAGGCGGTAAAAAGGTCTTCTTGATAACTGCATGTCGAGGGAACACGGTGAATTATCAACCTCAAAGCGGCGAACATTGGCATAGATGTTAGACCAGTAAGCCAATCTGCAGCAGCCAAGCTACACAGCAGAATATTGCATGGCTTCTGTAATGACGGAGTTTTCACAGTTGTCACAATAATGAGCAAGTTGCTACAGATTGCGAAACAACACAAGAGAGCTGTAAATACGGCGACGAAGATATCGTTTACGTACGAAGCTGTGCTGTTCTCTGGGAGTCCGAACCACTCAGGCACACCGCATAAGCTAACTTCGCTTTCTTTGTCACCCATGTGTCTGTTAAAAAACAAAAAGACCAAATTGTCATGAGATGAAGATATATGTCAATCGCCTTTCAAGGAGTACGAAGCAAGGGAAAATCTGAGTCTCCATGAGGAATAAAGCTTAGTAAGTAAGTTAACGTAAAGGAAATTATTTCAAACACACTTTCCCCGTCAACAAAACTGGTTCCCGCGGAGGGCGTGGGGTTAGAGACAGAAAATTTAAAATTTAATAATTGCGCGAGTCTAAGATAGTGAGAGAGTGTGAGCGTTAAATTTGGTATTGAATAATGGTAACTAATGAATTCCAGAATCAAATGTCTAAGGGAGTGAGTTCCATAGTTTAGCACAACTGTAAAAAGCCTCTTTTTTTAGGTGTTTGATCTTGGGTAAGAGAAAATGCAGTAAGTCCGAGGAGCCCCTGAAATTTCATTCTTTCTCAAGAATAGGTCAGCGAGACAACTTGGAGACAAGCCGTTGAGCACTTTGAACATTTCCCTAGCTCTGGACTTTGCTTCGAGAACTTTACATTCCGATCTATTTCCACCCGTGACAATTTCGACATTGCTGATAAAGCAGTATGCAAGAAACATGTCTGAACCAAATAGTGGCTCAGTTCATTATTGACTTTTCCGTGGCTCAGTAGTAGAGCATTCAAGCGCGAAATCTTAAGGTCTAGCTTTCGAATCCTCATGAAACTCAGAATCTTTCTTCCTTTACCTCGTATCATGCATCTTCGTTAGGTGGATGACTGATGATCTTTAAATTATAAAATTTGCTACCGAAATAATGGCAATTATTTGGTCGCCACATGACTCAACATTCTTCTGAAGGTACACTGTAACTAAGTCATGGTGTGGAAAAGTAAACTCTTTCACACCCAAGTAGCGTTCACCATTTTGTTTTCCAAGATTCGATTTGGGTATCGAAAATGCAAGAGCTGAAATATTTTTAGCAACCCTCTTTTTTGATTAACGGGCACATGAAAAAAAATTTCACTATGTCAGTAAAACATTTCTATAAACCCACAGCATTTGAGAGTTGAAATAATGTAGGCGATTCTATACTCCCTGCGTATTTTTCAGCATTGTTATGTCGATAAAAAAAGGACTAAATACGTATTTTATCTATGATTGACAAAGGTAGCGATAAAAACCTATAAAAACAATGTCAAAAAACATTAAATAACTTGGAGCTTTGGAAAATAATACTTACCGAGATTGAAAAAAATATTCTTGTTTTCGCTGTCAGATGCGAGTCACGGTGAATTGTTTTAAATACTGCAAACAAGCAAATCAAGCAGGGCGCGATGCTAAGTTTACATTGGAGCTCAGGTGAAACCTGTCAGCTTTTATTATAAATAACTTCAATGACCTTGTCAAAATATCATCGACAGATCTTTTGAAATTTTCAATATCCGGCTGCAAGATAATTTCCCTATTGATGTAAATAATATATCATGGGCGGTGAACGAACATGATTTTAGTGAAAGTGTAAAACAGTTTTAAGTCAAGACTGACCAAGCCTTATTAATCCTTCACTGGAAAAATCCTTTAAGGTGTTATCCTTGCTGACCTCAATTTTGATATTTGCTTGCTATATTTACCTTTTACTGTTAAAGGCAGGTATTCATTTGCCAACATCCCACGCATTAATCAGCCATTCAGTCGTAATCTTGTGACTCTTAGATGACACAATTCAATAAAGTCTAGTCACCTTGATTGGCTAAGTCATCTTGGTACAAGAGGCAATAAACAGGCCATGCCATTGGCTGAACCGGCCTGGCCTAGTTCTTTTAAAATATTAGATGGTGAGGTTCATTACAATATTCTTTGGCAGGTGTCTTTTACATTGTATAATAACTAATAAAGCCGAAAAGAAGGTTATCGGAAGGCCGAGGAAAAGCTTAGCCGTATAATTTACTACCAGTTTACAAACGTTTTTTGACAAATCACGACGACAAATGAGGCAGTTTGAATAAAAATAAATGAATTTTCATCAAAAATAAGTTTAATTAAAAAATTTATATAGTTAGAATTTAGGAAATTCATTACAACATTTTAAATCTTGAGTTTCTTCTTAGCATTGGCAATTCTTTTTGCCCCGCTTCAACGTGTTTTAGTCCAAACGCATATCAACAGATTTGTTTATTTGTGAAGAAATATATATCGTTTGAACTACAAAAATGAAACTGCAAGGTAGCTTGCGTTTTCTGAGAAAATAGCTTTTACGGTTTGCTACATAAGCATCTATTTATACGTATTTCCAAATTTTTAGAAGCTGAGATCAAATTTGCGCTCTTACAAATAATTTAAATAACACCTCTCTTCCTCCTGAAGGATATTTCGCTCTACAGTTGTTAATTCTTCAATCCTATTCAGTGTTGTACAACAAGGATAATAGATTTAAGCTAAAGAGTAAGATTCTAATGAGGGTCATCGAAGATCCAGCTGTGATAAGAATTCGTGTTATGTGAAATGGAAACCTTTCATCAGATACCTTCCAAATTAACCCCATATTTGTTACTGATCTCTGACGAGGTCCCAAAAGAATTAGCATTCTTATTTTTCTGAGGATAATGCTGTTTCCGCGCTATAAACCTGATCATGACTCATTGAAGGAAGAGTTAAAATAACATCTGTCTAAAACTTCGAAATTACCAGAGTTTCTTACGTTTTCAAGCGATGCCAAATTCATCATTGAATCCCACCCTATTTTTTCTTTTTTGCAGTCAAATAAAAGTGAAAAAGGGCATACAGTTCACTTACTAAGAAAGAATACCAAAATATGTCCTCTGCTACTGCCCGATTATAAAGATCAAGAAATAATTGTTATTTTTTTGCTACGTTTTTCGACAGACTAACCTCGATGCTTTCAGCCTGGCACTAGCCGCACAATCAGTAAGATAGCTTCTTTCCCTTTAGCGGATATATTCAATTAAAACTAGAAGGCGAACGCTTTGATGTTAAGAAATAAAATTGATCTCTTCTTCATGATGTTGAATCAAACTAAATTATGCGATTCTAAGAATTTATCTTGATCATTTAAATACGTGCCGCATCAGAAATGACAGCAAATGACAGCCTTGCTTCAATGAGGTGCGAGTGAGGTGGCTCCATGGTTCTACTTTGATTTTCAGTCCACAAATCGTATTTCTATAGCAAGGTAAAACGTGTACCTCTTCTGATTCAAGTAATTCTTCAACCTGTTAGTTATGGAAGCTGGAAGTTATCAGCTAATATCTAATTCGAATCTTAGACGTAACGATACGTTTGCCGTGGTGGGTTTTCTTGGTATGTAATTTATATTTTTTAATAAATATTTTTCGAAAAGTCTCTTTGCTTTAGCTCTAACGAGTTTTCTAAAAACCTCTTGTGAACTATCTTGCTTCTTCAGTTGATACAAGTTATTTAGGCTTAAAACTAAAGTAGAGCGACAAGCCTTTTGTCCGAAGCAAAACTGGAAAAGCAGATTGATAAAGGAACGGATGCACGGATCGCATGAACGTATACGAAATTGTGATTTCAAAATACTGATATTTAAAAGTAAAGATGCAGTAAGTGATATGCTGGCTGAAGACTACTTACGATGCATGCAGCTTGTTTAAATTGGCGACACATTTAAAGATTGCCCAGAGGGTAGAAAAGGAGTAACAGATGGCAGTGTTCCTAGATGAAGGTTGTTTCAACGTTTTCATAAATAATGTATATCAAAAATTCCAAAATAATTATGCAGACCGCGTCATCAGAAGACAGCTGAAGTAGAAGTAACGTCACTTGCACATTAAGCAATTTTTTTTTTCCGTTTCTTTGAAATGGTTTTCATGCCTTTTAAAATCCTTTTTTTTTTTTTTTGGCAATTTTAATATAAACGCGACTTGATTTAAATTTTAAATTACATTTAAATATGCATCATGATGTAGATCATAACTGGTAAATATCATGGAAAATCCCCTCATTTTGCATTTTTATATGTACATGATAATACTGGGCACCTTTTTTAAAACCCCAAGATTCTTTGGAACAATTAAGTTATATGTTTTAACCAAACTTAATCAAGAAAACCAGCTACTGTTAGTTTAAAATTAAGTTAGAGCAGATTTTAACTGAGTGACAAAGACCAAATCTAAAGTAATCATAAGGGCGGGAAAACACAATGCATCTGATTGGTTGAGAGGGTGGCGCGGGTTTTCTAGACCAATCACAGAGCGAAATCAAGTTAAATCAAATCAACTGTAAGTTTCTCTTTACTCTTAATTGAAAATTTCCTTAAGACACTCGTTTGGGAATTGCCAGAGAAACCTGGAGCGGAGGGATGGGGTGTATTTAGCCTTCAGTCCTAGCCTGGCCGCCTTAGATTGCCTCGCAGGAGTGGTTGCTAAGCCAGTGTACATCACTTGTCGATTTTTTATTCTGTGAGTTTGCCAGTCGTGTTTAAATCAGCTATTGATCTTTAAAGTTTGTTCTACTTTTGGTGTGTTCGTGCTTGGCCTGTCGCTCACTAATCTTATGATTCTCAGCTTTAACATCCACTATGCTCTGTCCAAACCCTTGGAACACGAATCTACTACCAACAAAAGAGAACTTAGAAATGTGGTCAAATTTATGCTTAAGAATTAGACCTAATTAACACTAAAAAAAACTCATTATTTTTTGATGATGTTTTGCTTTTCTTTCGAATCAGAGGAATTTTCATTAGAGTGTGGGAAGTAAATCCGAGACTGCTTCAATTTGTTTTACTTTGCTGTGTAATTGGTCCAGAAACTTCGCGCCACCATCTTTCAACCAATCAGATTCAAACCTAAAACCAGTAACGACTTGGTGACTCGCGTCTTCCCGCGCTTGAAACAGTTTGCATATTTTTACTTTGAATTATAATTAGCTTGGTTTCACATATTTCCTTTTGCTCTGATTGCCTGTCATAGTGATAACTCCGGTTTTTCATATATTGTATATTCTTGTTTCTTTTTTCTTCTTTTCACATATTTCCCTTTGCTCTGATTGCCTGTTATAATTACTTTGGTTTTTCATACGCTGTTCTTGAGTCCTGATTGTAAAAACTGTGCCATGAAAATAAAAACTTTTTCCTTCTATCATATCATCATCTTCATATCATTTTAACCTCACAGTTTCGGTGGATATCTATCTGCGAACATCTATTTCCAATATCCGCTCCTAAAATTAAAAAATGAATCATTTTCCTCACCATTTGTGCACTAAAGATACTCATTTGAAACCTCTGTCAACGTAGACCTCATGACTTTCAAAACATCGCTAACACCCATTTCTACCAGGTTTGCATGGACAGAATAGTCAGAGGAAACCAAATGGGCCACTACAAACCATTAAGATGTAGCTAAAAAGAAGCATGAACCATATCATGGTTGTTAACAAGAAATTAATTCAGGAAAGCCGGGGGGACAGTATGAAAACCGATGAAGATCATTATGAAAATGTTGTTGGTATTGACAACGATGCTGAGCATGGTGATGCTGACAGAGATGACAGTGATACTCGGATATTAGGAAATTCAATTTTCTTCGGTTGTAAATTATTTCTTTGCCAGTCCTTTTTCCTGGCGTTACAACCGCTCAAAAGCTCTTTCCCTTCGTCGCTTAATATACATCTAGACACGTTGCTACTCTTCTAAAAATTAAATTATGAAGCCGAACGAATTCCCCCCAGGATTCTCATCTGTGATTCTGTTAGGATCATGCTATGATCTTGTATCATTTTATCTTCCATTTCCACCTTCGTTTTCACCTCAGTGTTTCTCCTTTAGTGACGGATATGACCTTTTCTTTTTTTTAAATTGCATCTTTGAAATTACTGCGCCTTTTTCTTTATCATAAGCGTAATGTGTAAGTGATTTCTGCCGATACAAAACGTCGGCCATTACCTGGATCAGTTCCAGAGGAGCTTCGCGTGCATTGGGAGAGTTGGATCGAAAGAGAAAGCGACGAGAATCCTGTTAAACCAGTGGTCGTATGCAGCAAGAAATTTTGCGGCTTCTGTTTATCTTAAGAAGAAATAAGTTGGGTTTACACGCTGAAAAATGAACTTGAGGGTTTTAAACGTCACCTTTGTTCCCGATTCAGCTTCTTCATGGCGATTTAACTGCACTGAACTGTTGTTAGAAATAGTCAGACCTAATTGTTTTAAAACCTTTTAAATTGATGTGCACTAATTAACATGAAGCATTTCTGTCAATTTTTCAAAATCGGAATCGAATTGAGCGCAGGAGCGACCCTTTTCCATTACAGAACTGCCGTAAAATGTCTGTTAACATGAAACGGATGAATTTTACATTTGGTTTGCGTTGATCATAACCACTTTATTTCTCTATTGCCATTTGCCTAATTCAAATTACTGAAAAAAAGAAGATACTACTAAATTTTATTTTCAATTTGTATAATTGTTCTGAATCGATTATTGTGAAGGCGATGCATTTGTGTGACGTAATCATTTCAACACTTTTGGAAAGCGGAAATTATATCCTAGTGCCTTTTATAACAAAAGTCAGTAAAATTCGACATCAATATAATAGTATTTGAAATTGGAGCAAAGTCATTCCGTCGGCGCTTTTTGTATTTGAAATTGATCTTATTACAATAAATTTTCCCAAAACTTTGCGTGAAATAGAATTAAATGTGGTTTATTCCTTGTGAGGAACGTACTGGAATTATCTTTGCACGTATTAAAAGCCTGAGTGTTTCAAGAACCATAAGACGATTTAATGAGTTTTAAAAACTTGTATATTGAGGAAAATCTATTTCGTTTGCAAAGATTCGTAACGATAGTTTACATATTGAGAAATGCGGCTACTTGTATTCATAAATTTTTTGTTAAAATTTATTTCTCTGGCATCTGTCGCTTAGGAATAAACTTGTGGAGCACATTAATCAGAACCGCGGTCAGTTAAAGTTTCGTTTTATACAAAACTATGAAACTGAACTTAATTTCAGTTTTACTCAGTTTCTGACCTACTCTTAGAATGGCTTCTGGTTATGGTTCAAGTTGTTAAGACCGAGTTATTACAAATCTAAGGCAATGAGGCAAAATGTTGTTGCCTCCCTGTTCTTCATTACAGCTCCTCTCATTTCTCTCCTTTTCTTAATTTAATTCGTTACGCTTGGTCGACGTCACAACGTGACTGGTTCTTAAGCAACCACTGTTTGATGACATGACAATATTTTAGGGTATCGATCTCTGTTTAAAAAAAAATGCCCTGAATTTTCTTTTTTTTCCTTTTTTCAAACAAGCTCATTCGTTACTGACCATCTATCTGTCTAATTTTTTTTTACGAATAATCGATTATCGATTTCAGTTACTTAAAGCTAAATTTTAGCTTGGAGCAACTGTTAGGGTCACAATTTTAGATCAGGTCCCAGAAAACATTTGACTTGAAGTCCTGAACTTCTGTCTACAAAATGATTACCTCACGAAACAGCCCTACTCGATGCAATACACGTTAGCCTGTCCTTCTCACCTTCTACACCAGCTCAAATCCTTGTTCAAAGCGAGGAAATCAACCATCAATCGCAACACTAATGGTGCTTTCAGCTACCCTCTACTTAAGGGGAGGTGTATCGTTAATCGATAATATTCCTAATCATTTTAATGGCAACACTTCAGTGGCGTTTCCGTTGCAAGCTATTTGCATCAGGTATTAAACATTAAGTTATATCGGTCTCAAATTACCTATGAAATCAATATCAGTTATTAATTGTGCATATGGCCTCTATATAATTTGTTCCCCACACGTTTATAGAAAAAGGTCATAAAGTTTGCATAAACCTCTCTGAATGACCGCTAAAATCGATTCTCGGTCATCACCTGTCTAACGATCACCATTCGCCATTAGGACCATTAGCGATCACCATTCGCCCTTCAAATAGTGACAACATCGCCCGTCACTGTAGTGACAAAATCGGTCAACATCACCTGCCTTAATCAGAGCTGAAGTTTTCTTCCTATCTGTTTTTCTTGTTTTTTTTTTTCTTTTCGGCGGAGTGAACAGTGTTGAGTTAGGAAAAAAAGACTTTGAATTCTTGCATTATTTTCTTTTCGGGTGCCATTAAAGTCCTCCCAATTAAATCATGAGTCATCATCGTACGCTATCGTTAATTACTAGTCAAATATATAGGGCCTTTCTGACGCCTGAAGCTGTTCAAGAACCGTACTTATGATAACGGTTTAGACCGTCTAAAGGCGAGAGGAAACGGTGAAACATGGCGGAGAAACGTTTTTTCAATGGGTTGCCTTTTCCTATAGAAATCATTAGAATGACATAGTCACCTGATCCTGCAAAGCGTTCTTCCTTGCTTTTATTAAAGATTGAATAAAATGTGTTCCTTGGTTTTTACTGCTTTTAGGTAAACTAGTCCATATTTCCTGTAAAGGAAAGACGGAATGCTGATATATGGCTGAAAAGGGCTACATTTATGAGTTGCTCGTTTGCATAGGCAGCGAATTGTCACAGACACTAGTTCTTGATCCAAAGCGAGCTTATTTGCTGGTGTTTAGGAAAGAATCAATTGTGTTTCTTTGATCTTTACTGCTTTTAGGTAAACCGATAGTATTTCCTTTAGAGGTAGTGGTTTTTCTTTGAGAAGTAGAAGCGCGTGGAGTTAGAAAAAATGCAATGTCATTTAAGATTACAGTATCACTTTCACCTCGTTTCTTCAATGGTTGAAGTTCTAATACTTGTCAATTCTGGGTTTTTTTACCTTTGACGCTTTTAATCAAGAGTCAGACCAATACTAAAGCGGAAATGTTCAGATTATAGGTTAAATTGGCACCTTAACTAATAAGATTCACTCTGAACCATTTAGATTTAATATTAGTTCTGGCTAATACATTTTAAATCGTTCGTAACGAAGTGGCAGAGTTGGTACATGTGATGATATAGCCTGTAAGTACTGAGATACTCGAGATCTCAAGTTTTTAGCTTGAGAAGCAGCTTTTATATACCGGTTATTAAAGGCATCAGAGTGCTCTGAGCTCAATTTACAATTCCCATGAATGGTCATGAATTAACTCAGAGTCGACAGTTGATAATTTGTGCGTTAAACTGAGACTTGACAACTTTTTGATGTTTCGGAAGCACTTTCTCCATCAGTGTTTCACAACATTTTCTGGTTGAAATGTCTACAAAACGTCTACAAAAGTTGTCTAAGGATCGCACGATCACACAAATATTGTTGAAAACATTCAGAGCTTCCTCAAATTTTACTTAACTTGGAGTGAAAAATGTTTACATTTTTAGCTTATTTGTTAGCTTTTGAGGAAGTTAATGCCAAATTTTACCCAGATTTACACGCCATTGATTTTTCGTGGACTATAGCTTTTCCATTTTTAAGTTTTATTTATACAAATGCGAAGCAAGTATCATTCATCTGCATTTGCATTTGATAAAAACACGGACGGTCCAAAGTTCTACTCTTTCTA